TTTGATAGTTATTGACAATCTGAAGAATGCTTCCAAACTAAAGTGTACATTCAATTTATGATATCAGCAGTTTTGGAATATTGAAATCAATGATTTTATCGTAAAAATGAGGATTTTAACTTGACAACAGTTTTGAGGATTTTAGCAAATAATAAAATTATATTTCAATGATTATCGATGAGACGTGAATCATTAAAAAATATTCACACACACATTTTGGGGGTGAAAATTGTGCGAAACGGGAATTTTTATTATTTTTGCCATACAACTCATTCAATTAAGATAATTTTATTATTTTAATTTCAACTTTTGTGAAACTAATTTTCATTCAATATTAATCATTTAATGTCTCTTTCTCTCTCTATTCTCTCTTTTCTCGACTCTATGTATACATATGTTGATTCATGTTTTACATATTTCATTTGACACAACAACAATAAAAACAACAAATCTCCCATTAAATCAATTGAAACCATCTGCATTTTTCATACATATTTATGGATGTTATGCTGTTTTACTGCAACTCGCTTTTGATGGCTATCATCATTCAAATAATAAAATAATTGAAAATATTACAATTACACTCGCACTCACCTGATACGTTTTACGAATATACAATTAAAATATGCAATTAAATAATTACCTTTGTTGGTTGATGTTAACTGGAATGGAATAAATTCATGTAATAAAAATATATACAAATTCTAAAGATCTTACACAGAAACAAGTACAAAACAAATAAGTTAATTGGATCATTTAAGTTAGATGTGGCTACTGTTTGGTATCAGAAAGGTAATGGATGGTGATTGTAAACGTTGTAGTTTATTTGTTAATGTGGCATGTGATAATGTTGAATTATATTTTAATGATTATCTGTATTGATACTGTTATTATTACTATCGTGCTGTCAGTTCTACCGTTTTAATATATTATTTCATTTTATTGGTTTGAGTTATATCGTATGCATGCAAGATCTGATTGCATTAAAGAAATTTAATTCACGTTTAATTTCATCTCATTTATTTTTCATTCAGATCATTTATTTTTTCACAAATGGGCATTACTCACTGATCCTGATGACTTTTTGAGCGGACCAAAAGGATATTTAAAATGTGACGTCGGTATAATTGGCAAAGGTGACACAGTTAAAGTTCCACCGAGAAGTGAAAAGGATCCAGATGATATTGAAGCGTAAATATTCATTTTCAGCTAATTAAGCAATGATCTTACAGTCAATTCATTATTATCTTTTAATCTACTTAGAAATCTTCTTCTACCTGATGGCGTACCAATTGAAAGACAACGTGCGAAATTTACTGTTAAGATTTATCGAGCTGATGGCTTACCGAGAATGAACTCTTCAATTGTTGCCAATGTGAAGCGTGCCTTTACAGGCGAAACAAAAGATTTAGTTGATCCATATGTTCAAGTTTCATTTGCTGGACTTATGGGAAAGACAACAGTTAAGAAGGCATCATATGCACCAGTGTGGAATGAGGCAATTATCTTTACAGAAATGTTTCCACCACTCTGTCAAAGAATCAAAATCCAATTACGTGATGCTGATCCAATGAAACCTTCAATCATCGGAACACATTACATTGATTTAAAACAAATATCCAATGACGGTGAAAAAGGATTCTTGCCAACATACGGACCATCATTTATTCATCTTTATGGATCAACGCGTGACTACAGCTTACTAGATACAAATTCAACATTAAATACTGGTCTTGGTGAGGGTGTGAGTTATAGAGCACGATTATTGATTGCTATACGAACTGAAATAACTGACAACGCTGACATTACGACCGATAAAAATGTTGAAGTTGAACCAACATATCCAATACAGGAATCATCATACTGTAAAAATGATGAATATTTTCTTTTTTCTACAATATTTGAGGCTTCAATGTTAGATAAGAAAACATCTGAAAAATCGACTCATTTTGAACTAAGTATTGGAAATTATGGAAATTCTCTAGACGGTCACAACGAATCACAATCAAATCATTATGATGATGAAGAGGAACTAGGTAGGCGTTAAAAAATCTCTAAAGTACAACAATTTACAACTTTCATTATTTAAATGAATTTTTCCCAATAGGATTTACGACATTTTTTCATTACATTTCGTAATTAAGATGTTTCTAAGATATATAGTAACTGAAGCAAGAAATAGCACTTAAAAACCATTGAATTGAAATATTAATCAAACTTTTCTTTTTACAATTCGAGCAAATTATTGCAAATTACTCTTTCTGACTCAAAAGATTTTCATTTGAACAAATTTTGGCAAAATAACTGTTTTCAAATAAATCTACATTAATTTGTCCATTGATAATGTTAGGATGAATAAGCATGCTTTTCTTGTTATTTCCTCAAATTTTCTACAACTTATTATCTTAAATGCCATCAATAAAAAAACTCAAATTTCTTGATTTTTCTCTAGAAAATTTCTAGATTTTTATAGCTGTTCCATTGAGTCTCTTTTACACCCACTCAATTATTTTAATGGCATCATGTTTTTGAAAGTGAACGTAAAAAGTTTTTAATAAAACCATAAAATTTTATTTTTCAAAACAACAGAAACTATCGATGTGTCATCGTTTTCAAGCACTACGAGTACTTGTAAGCCAATTTCTCATGACAAATATCATTACTACCTTCCCTATTGGGATTATAAACCTGCCATGAATGTTCGCTGTATATTTCCGGATCTAAGAAGGAGAATGTATAATAGTAATATGATCGCAAAGCTGACAGATAAAATAGAAGTTGGTCTTACAGAAACTTCAAATTTAATAGAGCAGGAAGATTGTAAGGCCGAAGTGAGATTACGAAGTTGTCTAGAGGAGCTATCTGCAGACTGTAATAACTTTCTTCAAATTACAAAAACAACACAAACTGGTCCTGGAACTGGTAAAACAAAGTTAGATAAAGAACGACTGAAATTGTGTCAACGTGAGGTTGAAACGATTGGAAATATGGCACGCAACCTGAAGGCATTAGTGACGAGAAGCTCGCTTAAAGAACGATATAAAACTGCACATACATATTTACAAAAACTTCGTTTTCTCATTGAAGATGTAAGAGATCATTATTCGTAATTGCTTTTATGAGAAAACCTTATTTTCATGTCTTTAAATCTCCATTTCATTTCTTTTATTAACAGCCTCAACATGCACTTCCTGACGTATTCATTTGGCTCATTGCTAATGGTAAACGAATAGCATATCATCGCATGAATGCGCGAGACTTAATTTACTCTACAACGGAAGAGGAAACGGGCATTTTTTGCGGAAAGATGCAAACAGTGTTCTTCAAATTGCCTGGAAAACATTCAAATGGTCCTGCTGGGTGGCAAATACAAGCAAAATTAATTGTATATGCTTGGCTCGGTGCTGTTAAGCACAAAAAGTTTTTCTTCAGTGGACTTCCAAGAGGGTTTGAATTGTCACAAGATCTAAGGAATGCCGAACGTCCAAGAGCACTAGCACCAACAAATATCCATTACTTGGAGAAACATGTAAATAATTGAAAAACTTTTCTTTTTCTTTTCGGATTTTATCCTTCCAATTCTCATTGGACATTTTTTGATAGACTTTTCAACTTAGAGCACATATTTATCAAGCCCGATCTCTAATTGGTTCTGATGCCAGTGGATTAAGTGATCCATATGCTATGATATTCATCACAGAGTTTTGCAAATCAACACAAGTTATAGAAGAAACTTTAAGTCCAACATGGGATGAACTTTTAGTATTCGAAGATGTTTTGGTATATGGAGCAAAAGATGAAATACAACGTGACCCGCCGACTGTAGTAATTGAAATTTACGACCAAGACAAAGTAGGAAAATCAGAATTTATAGGAAGAGCTATCGCGCGACCGAAAGTTAAGCTAAAAGAAAATGCTTACAAAACTCCAGCATTAGAATGGTTCGAGATTTTTCGTGGTACAGACAATGCGGGTGAATTATTGGCTGCCTTTGAAATGTTAGAAATCGGATCATCGGATCTGCCAGCTTTAACAGAACCAAAATACATACCATCGGATGGAAAAAGTATGATGGGATTTTACAAATTATGAAGCAATTTATCTTAATAAATTATTAATAAACAATTCCAGATAATCAACAGCGTCCTATTATCTTTCCGGTTCCACGAGATGTTCGACCTCATCTTGCTCGCTTTAGAATAGAAGTTTTATTCTGGGGCCTTCGAGATTTAAAACGAGTTCATTTTATGAGTGTTGATAAACCACGAATTGATGTCGAATGTTCAGGAAATATTTTGAGTTCAAGCATTATACAAAATGCAAAAAAGAATCCCAATTTTGCGAATATGCTCAAGTTTTTCGATTTGGAACTACCTGTCGAGGAAACATATGCTCCACCAATAACTATTCGATGTGTAGATTGCCGTTCATTTGGTAGATATACATTAGTAGGCACACATCAGATAACATCAATTCATAAATATATGCATAGACCAGCGCCTCGGGATTCAATAGCAAAACAAAATGGTCATATTATATTATCTTCTGACAAAACATCAAATATTCAGGAAGAACATCTCATTTTGAATGCTGATGGAACAAAAATTCATAAAAATTCGTCATGCGATAATCTTACCTTATACGGAGCAGTATGTGTTGGGAAAGTGTAAGTATTGCGACATAAATACTACAGCTCTTGAGGATTAATGTACGAATTTTTTTACAGCATCAAAAAAAGTACATCAAAAAAGAAACAGCTTCATCAGCTGTCTGAAGATTCAGTTGATCAAGATGATGATGATGATGAGACAAAAGATTGGTGGACGAAATATTTTCTCTCTTATGAAAGGCTCATCGAAGCTACAAAAGGTACAAATCAGCGTGTACTTGACTCGTACTGTACGTCGCCAACAGGTACAGATACTGAAAGTAAAAAGAAATTTACATTAATTAGCAAATCAAAAATTGTTCAAAAAATAAGTCCAAAACATTCGGTACCACAAAAAGATGAGAATAAGAATGTGGCTACATGCGACATTTATATTAATGAGCTAGAGTCACAAACAGAATACAATTACTTTAAGGAATGGCTTTTATCATTTCCTTTATATCGTGGCAAGAAAACGGGTGATAGTACTGAAGATGAAAATAGAATTGTTGGATATTTTAAAGGATCGGTAAAAGTATACAGACTTCCAGTAGATAAAGCAATGGAGCCAGCATTTGCTCCTACTTTACCTCTTAATGATCCAATACACGTTTTAGTAAGAGTCTATATTGTGAAAGCAACAGACCTTCATCCAATGGATTTAAATGGAAAAGCTGATCCTTATGTCATATTACAACTTGGAAGTAAAAAAATTTCAGATAAGGAGAACTACGTGAGTAAACAGTTGAATCCAGTCTTTGGTAAATGCTTCGAAATCGAATGCTGTTTTCCCCAAGATTCAATGCTCACTGTTCAGATATTCGACTGGGATTTAGTGGGATCAGATGACTTGATAGGCGAAACAAGAATTGATTTAGAGAATCGATTTTATAGCAAACATCGAGCAACATGTGGCTTAGCAAAAAAATATGAAGAGTAAGTGAAGAGAAGCAAATGTTGAGCTAACATGTTTTAATTAATTCTATTCGTTTTAGTTCTGGATACAATCAATGGAGGGATCCAATGAAGCCAACTCAAATATTATTAAAACTATGCAAAGATAATAAATTGGAGAATCCTCATTACTTCCAAGACAGAGTAATAATTGGACGTTATTGTATGACCTTTACAAAAGAAGAAGTAATAGCATGGAATAGTCCAACAACTTGCAAATATAGAGACGAACATTTGGCTCTAGCCGTACTTCATCGATGGGATGAAATTCCAAGAGTCGGATGTAAAATTGTTCCAGAGCACATCGAAGCACGTCCATTATATAATCCAGATAAGCCTGGCATTGAACAAGGAAAAATTGAGTTATGGGTTGATATGTTTCCGATGGATATGCCACTACCTGGACCACCTGTTGATATTTCGCCACGTAAGCCGAAATCTTATGAATTACGCATTATTGTATGGAACACAGACGACGTTGTTTTAGAAGATGATGCGTTCTTTAGTGGTGAAAAAATGTCAGATATATATGTAAAAGGATGGTTAAAGGGACCACAAGATGTGCAGTCAACAGATATTCATTACCGTTCGTTAACAGGAGAAGGAAATTTCAATTGGCGTTTTATATTTCCATTTGAGTATCTTGCAGCTGAAGAGAGGATTGTCTTGTCAAGAAAGGAATCTCTATTTAGTTGGGACGAAACGGAAGTGAAAATTCCGGCAAGACTGGAGCTACAAGTGTGGGATGCAGATCATTTTTCAGCTGACGACTTTTTGGGTGCAATATCATTAAACCTTACACGTTTTCCACGTGGTGCAAAATCATCAAAATTATGTACATTAGATATGCTCAAAACGGACAATGTTCCAATGATTAATATTTTTAAACAGAAACGTGTAAGAGGATGGTGGCCATTTTTCATTAAAAAGGAAAATGATGAAATGGAATTAACGGGTAAAGTAGAGGCAGAATTTCAATTACTTACAAAAGAAGAAGCCGAAAAGAATCCAGCTGGTTATGGCAGAAATGAACCGGATGGACTTGAAAAGCCAAAGTAATTAAAAATACTTTTTTATTAATCATTTAAGCTCAAAAATAAATTCTAATCTATTTCAGTCGTCCTGATGCTTCATTTATGTGGTTCCTCAACCCTCTTAAGTCAATACGCTACATCATATGGCATAATTACAAATGGAAGATTCTCAAAGGACTTTTATTTCTCTGCATTACTTTTATGATACTGCTTTTCTTCTATTCCATACCAGGTTATACGGTTAAGAAACTTCTTGGTGCATAAAGAACTTAAAAACAATGATTGACGAAAAGTAATTAAAAAATCTTACACAAGATAATGAAATTTTATTCTAACGAAATGAAATAAAGTTTCGAAAAAGCGAAGATATAATTAAATTTCATTTCCATTACAATCGCTTCCATATCTCTTATGTTATTAAGGAAAAGTCAAGCAAATACAGAAATTGTTAAGTTTTATTTGTTAAATGGAATGTTTATTTAGTTCTTATGATGAATATTTAAAAAAAAAAACAATCAACAATAATAGGAACTGACAAAAGCGCAGCAAGATTTATGCATTAATGATGGAAAATACAAATTGGTGTTTAATTATTTTATCCAGCAATTAAAACGTTGTAGCTATAACTGCCAGTTAAGAGCGCGTTTTCCTAAGTAATTATCAAAATTTGGCAGCAATCATATTTATCCCTATATATACTCATCATATTTAAATGCTCATTAAAAATTTGACAATTTAAAAAATTTATTTGGAAATGTAGATAGGTAAATAAAATTTATATAGATCTATTCGACCGTTAAGTCATGAATAATTTAATAGATTAATATATGACACAGTTGGAAAAATTTCAGAATTTTATGCAATTTTAATTGAGTATCAATAGCCATTTAAATCATTTAAAAGTTTTATCTTAAATTTAAAATTTTACTCTAATTATTGCATAGAGTTGAAACGAATAAAAATATTAAATAAACTTATCAAACCTTATAAAGAACGATGCTTATGAGACAATCGCAGTTAGAGCTTTGATATTAAAGACATATTTAGATATTCATGCCTAGATATTCTACCCAAATTTAGCTAGAAATAAAATAATATTCAGAATTTTTTTCTTTTGCGCTCTCGTTCATGTTTTAAAAATTCGTTTTAAGAGTCATGCCGTGAAAATTTAATAAACCTTCAATCCAAATATGAAATAATATTGAAAATTGGCTTCAAAATTTTGTTATTTTCATTGAAAAATTTAATAATTCATATTTATCCTGTTTAAATTTTTTTAAAAAAATATTATCCAATTCAATTTGTTGATCAGGTTATGCACATAAAAATTACATGCTTATATCATGCATAATGTATGAATTTTAAATGATTTTTTTTTGAAAGATCACGAAATATAGCTTTAATATTACCTTTTTTTTGTAAAATTTCTTTGAATTTCTAAAAGTAGATTCATATTAATTAAAGCTGAAAAACATTAATTCTTATCTCGTTTTATCAGAAGAACCAAGGATTTTTTTAATAAAAAGCAAGAAAGAGCATGTCACCTTATTCAAATAAATGCCTTTACTTCGTTCATTCATTTGCAATAAAAGTTTGATTTATTCACATTTCATACACATGACAAACAAAAACTTATCATTCTCAAACATTTCAAAAGCAGTCATGCATTATGATGAAAGAATAGTGAAAAACGAATAGACAAAGAATTGTTCGTGAAAAAAGAAGTAAGTGACGATGATATTTGCAATTAAAAACTTTGAACATAAAATCTTCTTGCATTCGTTTATTATCTCCAATTTTAAAAGAACATTTTTAAGTTATTCAAAAAAAAAATTCAAAGAGAATTTGCACTTTCTAATGCTTTGCAACTATTTCACTAATTAGCTTTAAATTCAAAACGTACAATCCGTATTTTTAAGATGTTTTCTAAAAATTCAACATTTCATTATCTCGTAGATTTCTGAAAAAAAAAATCACTTCATCAAAGAATTATGAAGAAATTAAAGACTTATATCATACAACTAGATAAATCTTGAGTTTAAAATTTAATTAAAAAAATAATTCTTGTTATTCTTGCATTTACTTAAAGACTTTTGCGCATACAATTTTGCTGTTCATCTTATATAAAAGTCATTAACTTTTAAAAGTAAAAAATCATAAAAAAATATATATTTTATGTTATTATGACAGTTGTACAAAAAATATTGTAAAATACAATCAAATTATGAATAAAAATAAAAATTAACTTTAAACCAATAATTACAAAAAAAATTCTTTGCAGTAAGTGACGAAGGAGAAATTATATGATTTGCGTTGTTGGCGTTCCTGAATTTGGTGTGTCAGGTTTAAAGCCATTATATGAATCAAAAGTCTTAAGAATTTTGACTTCTAACACAATTGAGTCATTGCGAATGTATGCTCCACTAAAAATATAATAAGTTATAGGAAATTCAGAAGCTAATCAAAATATTTCTACAAACCTGTTGATAACTTGATGGGGAATATGTATAAATTGGTTTTGGTATTCTAATCTATCATTTCGTTTTTTGGTGATAACAAGTTTGGTTATGTCAGTCGCATCATTTAGATTTTCAGGCTGTTCTCTAAGGATTATGTCTGCTTTTAATTTACACGGCCATGGAAGGAGGGTGTCATAATCACCATTTACGACTGTGAGACAAGCAATCAAATTTCGATTTTTCCATGTCCCAATGCCATTCAAATAAACATCCAGGCGAAGAGAATATCCGTAATGCTTATTTGAAAATAGTGGACTCTTGAGAGGAACTTCGGATTCTTTTGCATCATTTAATTTCCTTTCATAATGATTTATACGCCATATTAAATGTCCTCGAATGTTTGTTATCATATTAAACTGCCTCTGAACACGTAAATGTTCTTCGAGATCAGCTAAGCTTTGTTTGGTCTCATAGACTAGTTCTTTATAGATATCTACTTGTTTAACAACTTTATCAGATTTATCTTCAATTTCGTTGACTGTATTCAACAGCTGCTTTACATTGTAATCAGTCTTGACAGTTCGATCATTGACATTACTCAATAATCCTGACGTTGCCGTTAATTCCGTTTCAATTTTGTCTAAACGCGATAGCGAATGCATTAATCCATCACTAAAACGAAGTTTAAAGAAATGGAAAATGAATATAAAGGAAATACAAAAAAGATCCTTTCATTTGACTGAACATGACATATGAATATAAAATTTTTCATTTTTGTATAGTATTACAAATTCAGTCACATGAAAGTGAACATTATAAATGATAATATTTTCAATGCTGCAATTTTACTCTGTAATGTTATGCTGATTTTGTTGCAGCATCTCTATTTGGTTCATTTTATCGTTTATAGCAGAGATATATTTTACGCAATCATTTATATCATCAGACGATTGAAAACGTAGGCGTTCAAGTTCATTTTCTATCAAGTAAATAAAGAACAGATGTTGTGGTATCAAATTTCCAGTGAAATTTCAAATATTTACCGAGGCGTTTACATGTAGTTTTCCATTCAGGAACATCATCTTCATATGCTGCATTTGTATCAAGATTGGTTTTGGATACAATTTTCGTTTCTATGCTGCCTAATGTTCGTGCCATATCTTTTCGAAATCCTTTTATTTCCTAAACGAAAATCTTTATATTTTCTATACATTTATCTATCAACAAGAAATCACATTTTTACTTGAAATTGCTTTAGTAAGTTGTCAATAACTCCATGAAAATCCTTTATCTCTAGCTGTCTGCATTCCTTTTCTTCCTCAATCCTTTTTTGTAAGAGATTCAGAACCTCACTTACTTTACTTGTCCATTCGTCTGTTATCTTTACAAAAGAAATGCTGAGTTTCAATAATTGAGATTTTTGAAAGGAATATAAAGAAAACAGACCTGATTTCTTTTTTTTAAATGACCAAGTTCCACAATCAAATCATGCCGCATTCTTATTTCCTCATTCAATGATTTTCTTAAAAATGTCAAATTTTCTTCAATTGACATTAATCTTTCATTTTGGATATCATCCGCTACATTCTGAACAAGGACTGATTTTTCATCTCGTTTTACACAATTTTTAACGTGATTGTCCATGTTTTTTCGTTGAATGTATGACAAGCAATTGTAAGGACATTTTTCAAGCACTTGTCCACAAGTTAATAAATGTCCCTTAAAAATATTACAGAAATCAGTTTTATAAATATGAAATAATGTAATTAAAAGGTATAGTATGGAGAGGGCCCAGCCTTTTTGAGTTGGAGGCACTGCAAATTTGAACAAAATCTATTGTATCACACCCTTTAGACCTACAGTTTACAGTCGAATCCGAACCACTTGCAAGCTCTGCACGAGTACGTCTAAAGACCTGATGTCCCCTGCAATGTACCTAGTCACAAGAATTGTGCTCAAGATACTGTCCTAGTATACCAATCAATGTCATTAATCAGACATCAAATTATTTGATCTGACATCAAATTGTTTATAAAAATGTTTCGAAAAAAATTTTTGAATCTAAAATTCTTTTGAAAAGTTATTGTTCCTTCTATGGAAGGAAACATTTATATACAAGGGTGGATCAGAATGATAATTCCTTAATAAAGTACCGAAACATTTTTCATAAATTAACAGAAAACTTTAATCTCTCTAAAAATGCCTGTCAGTCGCCAGCAGACATAATAGAAACATTAAATTTGTGTTACCTTCTTAAAAGGCAAACTTTTTTTGAGAAGTCATCTGAAAAATATTTTTTATCCATTTTCAACTTGATCAAATAAATTGATCGAATTAGTGCTCAAAAGTTAATTTTTTTGGATGTAAAGAAATGATTTCTTATTTCATTTAATTTTTCACATTCTATAGAAGCTGTTAAAGAACTGTAATTAATAATTTAAAAAAAAATTAAAGCACATTTAAAAGGTTTCAACTTGATAGAAATGTGTCTTTTCACCAGCTAGCCACGATGTATCTAAATCCCGAAACAATAAATATATTTCACAAATTCTATGTTTATTTACTTATGCTTTATAAACCTAATGTGAATACAAATATCCTGTATGATCGGATCAGATAGCTATAACAAATGGATATCAATGAATCAAAAAGAAATGAATATGATAAGATTAATCCTCACTTTTTCGTGGCGCGATAAATGCGTGATATCGCTTGGCTAGATTGATAAAAAGTGAAAGAAAAAGGGTAAAGCTAACTGACTGTCGAAATAGTCGAATAATTCGAATGAAAAATGTATGAAAAATGACCGTTATAATAATGAAGAATTTTCATCGTCCCCCCTGCAGTTCCGGAGGAACTCATACTCATATGAAATTTAACGGTCACGTCGTGGTCTTATAATACGATTGCGAATGCTGCTAAGCTCTTTTCTCTTCTCGATTAGTTCGCGCAAATCAGGTCTTCTCTTCTTTTCGTAATCAGAGGGTGATTTTAAGGGATCGTCGGAACTAAGCTTTTGATGATGAGGACTGCGTCCCCCCGTCTTGGAGTCCCCCCGTGACGTCTGTTGTATTAACATTTGCGGTAATGCCGGTTTTCGTTCTGTTGTTTTTGAAACTTAAGTCACGGATTTGATCTTCCAAAAACGCAATCACTCCATCGACATCTTCATACTTATTGCAGGTTTTAACCCACTGTCTCCACAGTTTTACATGGTCGCTGAACATTTTACTTTCGATTATAAATAAAATGGCTTGTGAAGCTAATTCATGCTGCTGGTTGTGGATACGGCACTGGAGAGCAAATTGTTTGGCTTGCGTATATAGTCCAGTTAGCTTTTGCTTATCAGTGGACTTGTCGACTCGTGGAAGTTGTGTAATCCTATCCATTGCTACTCTTACGGCATTTCCACGAACACCAAAAAAATCATCAAGGAGTTTGAGTGTACTTAAAGCTTCAGCGCAAGGATCTGAAAGCTCCGTTACAAACATATCTCTCGCTTCTCCAATCACAAGTTCACGTAGTCGATCCATATCTTCGAAGTCTCTAAAACTTCCTCTCACACTGGTACGAATAAATTCCGATAAAAAGGTTGCCCATTTAGTGACGTCACCATCAAACGGAACTGGCTTAGCAAGGCTTGCTCGTAAGAGCATTAGGCGATGATCGTCGTGATGATCAGCTATTCTCTGTTGTTCATCGTAGTTGGGCCATCCAGTGCTTGTATTCGCGACGTTGAAAGTGGAATTATTAATGCTGCTTTTGTTTGGAGCACGTCCTTGAATGTTTGCAGGAATCGGGCGTGTGTGATTTGTAGTTGACTCGTCGAAACCTTCGGCCAAGCGAAGAGTCTCATTAAGTCGTTCCAAAAATGTCGAATTAAAGTTTTGTTGAGATCCAGAACTGGATCTTTCGCTTGTCATTTTGCTCACTGCCTCTTGCAGAAACTTTAATTCTTCTTCCTGCCTTTTAGCCACTAACTTTTGTGCTTCCATTTCAGCTGCTTGCTGTTTAATCTTCTCCACTTTATCTTCTAACTGATTTGCTAATTTCTCAGCCATTGTTTTAAGAGCCTCATGTTCTTCCTTCTTGATCGTATCGGAAGATTTTGATGCTGCTGCTTTTTCTGCTGATATTTTCGCCTGTTCCTCTATCTCTGACATTTTCTGATGTAATTCAGAGCTTCCTGTCGTACAATCTGTACAGTAATATCCAGTAAAGTGAGGTAAGACGCCAAGGTCATAACCTGCACACTTAGCATGGATAATATTTGCACAAGGCTTATTTCCTGCAGCTTCAAGATTCATGCATTTAAGCATGACACCGTCTCTTTCAGTGCATTCATCCTGGCACCGTTCGTGGTGTGCTCTCTCGACGTTTTTGAGCAAAAACTTTGACATGATTCGTTTGCGAGTCAAAATTTTTCACGCTGAATTTCCGCAGGACTACGAGGTTAAATTCGTTCTTCTCTTTGCTTTGATTAATGATTTAAGAGAAAAACTATCTGATGATGTCTTTTCACCAGCTAGCCACGATGTATCTAAATCCCGAAACAATAAATATATTTCACAAATTCTATGTTTATTTACTTATGCTTTATAAACCTAATGTGAATACAAATATCCTGTATGATCGGATCAGATAGCTATAACAAATGGATATCAATGAATCAAAAAGAAATGAATATGATAAGATTAATCCTCACTTTTTCGTGGCGCGATAAATGCGTGATATCGCTTGGCTAGATTGATAAAAAGTGAAAGAAAAAGGGTAAAGCTAACTGACTGTCGAAATAGTCGAATAATTCGAATGAAAAATGTATGAAAAATGACCGTTATAATAATGAAGAATTTTCAGAAATGTATCTTATTTTTAAACAAGGACAAAGGTTTGAAAATCCTAAGTAAATATTTACCAACGCTCCTCATAATTAATAAATGTTAAGCTCACTTATAGATGAAAATATCTATGTGTTCATTAACGTAGGACTGTTTCAAAATCTGAAGCTGTGAAACATTTTAAAGAAAATTATTCGTGCAGAAGAAGAATGTGGGGGGGGGGGGGGTTTGTGGAAATTAATTTTTTTATACACAACATTTTTGAACAAACACAGGTCAACAGATATTTTATCGTAATATCTGTATTTAAATTAAAATAGGCAAAGTTATTTAAAGCTTATCATCATCACATTTTCCGCAAACAGTTTAAAAATTATTTATAGCTGTTTGATTACAGCAGTCATTTGGCAAATAAAACTTCACAATTCCTCCAATAACGTTGGTGTTTAATGTAACATTTCAGTATTTACGAGAAGTACGAACAACGGCGTTATCAAAAGTAAATAAAAACAATGACTCATATTTTATGATACAATAATTACCTTGACTGTCTTATCATCCAACCATTCTGAGCAAAAATAACATGAAGTTTTTTGGAATGTAATTTTTGTGTCCATTCGATATGAAAATTACAAACTTTTTCAATGTAAATTTCAAACTCAAGGTTATCGTACGACACTTGTTGTTAGACTGCGTGGTAAAGATCACACTTTTAGCGCTAATCAAGCGCTCTCACACATCCAAAATAATTAGAACTTAATTTATGGCTAATGAAACTAGAGAAGACTTTTTTTTAAAAAAACTGTGTCTATCTGATAAATACGTCAAAATTTACAGAAAACTTCTCTACTGTGCTATATCTCCCGTCCAACTGAGAACAAAAATTTGTTTTTCTCTTGCTGTGTGAATAAAAATTGTTTTATCGTAATATTCAGTAATATATTGGGTGTGTGCAGTTTGATAAGATAGTAAAAATCTAGAAAGCAAAAAAAAAATAAATTCAGCAATGCTCTCAAAATTATATGAACTTGATTGAGGGGTTGTTTTATGTGGTATTCAATCTTTCACTTATAGGTTCATTATTCATTCAAAAAAATGTAAGAAATTTGTAAGAGATTTTTTGTAATATAAAACGTAGTGGTTTGTAAAAAAATTGTTTAATTCTCCTTATTTCTCCTGAATAATGTGGATCGAAAAATTAAGTGTGTGTGTGAAGTACGGACGAGAAATATCTTCCTTTGGGATTGTTAAGGGGCCGTTCACTTATTACGTTCGCATTTTAGGGGGGAGGGGGGGAGGGGCTTGAAAAATTGTAACAAAATGTAACATAGGGGGGGGGGGGGGGGGTGTCAAGAAGTATGTAACGTTCGTCTGTTTTTTTAAAAAAAGTTCAGGAAAAAAATTTCGTGAATGATTGTTTACAAATTCACATCAAAAACATTTTTTTAAATTTTCCACCTTTTTAATGATTTATGAATTGATAGTTTTGTTAAAAGATGATGTTGACTGAATCGAATCTGAGCATATGGATGTGTTACATTAACTACTTAAAACAAATTTTAAGCATGTTTAATTATTTAAAAGATTGAATGCAATATCTTAATGTGTCCAATAATAATAATAATATGAATAAAGAAAAACTATGATGAATTTTGAATAAAATTTAAATGTTCTTAATAACCACCTATAAAAAATTATCAAAATAAAATAAATTATGAACGTTCAGGGGGTGGGGGGGTTGTGAGTTGTAAAATATTGTAACAAGGGGGAGGGGCGGTTGAAAAAAAGTCATTTTTTTGCGTAACGTAATAAGTGAACGGTCCCTAAGGTGCTTTGATTTGTGAACTATTTATGTCATTATGCTGTTTTTGGTTCAGATTTCTCGACCGTGCTTCACACTCACTTTTTCAACTCTTCACGTTTCATGCAAATGAGCTAAAATTTTACCAGATTAATGATATCTTGGGAACATTTAGAAAATCTACTATTGGTGAATCTTTTATCCAGACATCTTCCAATCAGTACCGAAGGTCGCGCTAATTAATGACAATTATATTAATGCTAATTTATTTTAAGAGTGAACCATCTGTAGCTTCAAGCGGTGACAAAAAAGGTGATTATCGAAACGGTGGCATCTATAATCAATAAGAACAAGAGTGATCGAAAAATATCAAGGACCGAATCTATTGAATTTGAATATATCACTGGATTTCAATGAATCATTTGAAATTCATTCCAATGATAGTTTTAATAAAGTTCAATCTACAATGATAAGAAGTTGAGTTGCGAGTATCTGTCAAAATGGATGATAATGAATTTGAGAATCATCGTTTTAACACAAATCCTCCAAACATTTTTGCTCATACGCTTGTTGATGAAAATGATGTATAAATTGAAACTGTTGATTCAAATCTTACAAAGGAAGTTTAATAAGAAGTGAGGCATTGTAACGTGACTGAAAATTTAAAATTGGTAAAATCCAATTAAAAGTTGCAAAAATTTCGTGTTTGAGACAGTTTTTCTCATAATTATGTAATCTAGACTTTTCAAAGACTATGCATACTTATATAAAACGCCTAGTTCTATCTTCTAGATGTTCCTTCTCCATGCTTTATTTAAGAAAATATTTGATTATTTGCGAGCGTTGCCCTATTTCAAAATATGATGCATCAAGATTTCAGTCCAATTCAAATCTAGTTTACTAGTTGTCGTGAATATATAACATTTTGGTTATGTTTTTTTAATGATTTCAGAGTTTTTCAAATGAGTTATTCAGATATTAAAAAAAAAAAACATTTTCAAGGTACCTCTTGTCAACACGATTCTCCATCAATTTATAACATTTATTTTATCCATCATCAATATAATTAGACTTTAATTAAATAAACATTTATAAAACTCTATAATTAATTTCATTATTTGTCATAAATTTCATTGATTACATGTATCGACATTAAAGAATTCTAAACTCCTTGTAATGTGAGATTGTGTGAGATTTTTAACAATTGCATTTGGTTTTGTCTGTCATTTGTTCCAGTTTGATTCTATCATCAGGTGTATCATGGCCATTTTGTAATGGTAAAACTGACATTGGGGGAAGAATTCGGCCAGGAAATGAAAGAGTTTCCATTCTTAGCATGACTCTATCTAGCAACATTTCAACAGCTTTATTCACGTTCTCTCCTGGATGAAAAAAAAAAATAAAATGTAATTAAATTTTTATGATAATATTATTAAATGCTAATTGGATGGTAATGTTAATAATCAGCGTAAAAATTTGTTACAATAGCAACAGGTTTTTGTAACAGATTTAAAGCCAATTAGAGGGAAATTTTAAGAAATAGGAGTGTTCAACAAGTATTTTTTATATCAAAGAAAGTCAACGAAAAAAGGTTATAAAGTTAAAGGATTTCTTCCATAATAATAATTAACGCTGTAAAGGAAAATAAAGCCTTTAGGGATAAAAAAAGAGAAAAAAAAAATCATCTTCGTACCTGTGTATGCAGACGTTTCGATATACGGTACATCGTACTTTTCTGCCAAGGTTTTTGCACGCTGTGAATTAACAACGCGCAAATAATCCAAATCAAGTTTATTGCCACATAAAATAATATCAGGATTTTCACAATAAGCATGAATCTTTAGCTGTTCAATCCAATTTTGCACTTCCAAAAATGATTTTTCGTTTGAAATGTCAAAAAATAGCAGAAATCCCATTGAGTCCCGAAAAAATGATGTTGTGAGGCTTCGAAAACGTTCCTGACCGGCAGTATCCTAGATATGCAAAGCCATATAAAGTAAATATTTATAATTTAAATGATATTTTTAACTTTACCCAAAGCTGCAAATGAATGCGATGATTGATGCCTTTTGAGTTGTATATCTATCATATTGTTCAGCATTAATAAAGTTCATAAATCACATACGTTATCAGATCAAGATATAATTCACTTACCAGTCTTTTTTCGCGAAAATCAATTCCTACAGTTGATATAAATCGAGAATGAAAAACACCCTCCGAATACTGATGTAGGAAGCAAGTCTTTCCTACTCCGCTATCACCTAAAGCCAATAACTGTAAATATTTAAGAAAGTTATTTCAAAAAATGAAAACGACAGCATTATAATGAAGACATAGGTATATGCAGGAAGTTGTTATTTCTGTCATAACAATAAAATAATATGGAAATGTCACAGTAGCGTGCTTGAAATGTCCATTATAAGGTAACACTCATTTCAATTTTATTTAAAACAATGTCTTTAGTTTAAGAATCAGAACTAAAGTCCAACTTTGAGTTTCTGTCATCCGAAATTGCATTTCCTTGACATGAATATTCATTCGCTACTATAAATACACGATAACAATAGACATGTGTAAATTTAGATATCACATGTTGCATGTCATGGTGATATTATAATCATTTCCATTCTTTATAAACATTGGGCTACGTCACTGTGTACCAGAAAACTTACTGAAGAACATATACATACCTTTATTAAATAATCGTAATCACAATACATTGGCGGCATGTTTTTAAGCTTCTTTTTTTCCTCTGTTAACAATTTTTCCTTGCTCTGCTCCGTTCGTTAGAAATCATTTGAGGACGCAAAATGTATATAATAAAATCATATTTAATTTAATAGACGGAATGGAAAACGAAATGGTTTTATATAAGTCTCGTCATGGTAATGGAGACAAAAATAATTGGAGTGACTTTTCTTAGAAATAATAACATTAATTTCTGAGTATAAACTTTTTAAAACTTTTTTGAGTTTGTGTTAAAGTTCTGTACATAAAGTTAAAGCATTACTGTTCAAAACTGGTCAGAAAGTTTTCTAAGGATATTCATGTTCTTGACCTAGATTACTGATAACTTTAGGCATCATACTCTGTTTCTGATAATGTTTTGCAAAGCTGATTATTTTGATAAAGTTTATAAATGCTTTTAGGTGCACAATAACAACATTAGAAATTTTATTCCAATTATTTTGTGCTATTGAAAGCTTAAAATTTCTATTATTATACTTTTGCTTCAGCTTTAATAGCTGAATTCAATAATTTTTCTATTTGAAAAACCACAAAAGTTTCCAACTCTGAGATTAAAAGAGGATAGTGACAAGCAACAGATTAAACACTATCCACATAATATGATAAAGACATCTAAAATGGAATTCAATTATGTGTCTACAACTCATCAAATTAACGAGTTATTACGATGTGAGATAACCAGAAGTGTCGTATTTCGTCTTGAAATTGATACATCTTAGTAAGTATAATCACAGGAAAATTCCAAAATGGGGAAGTATGGACTTTAATGTGAACTTGAAATAAAAAACAATGCTCAATTTCCTCTCATTTTCCCTTTCCATAGATGTTACGCAAACCTCGATATATCCAAAAATAGATATAGCTATTTATTTGATGTGGGTCTATTGATATCACAATTTTCCCTTGTAGGTGTTTTCATTCATCCATTTTGAGGGTGATGGATGTTCAAATGATAATGCTGTCAATTTATTTATCTACATTTTATGATATTTTATATGATCGAATGAATTCAATTATCCAATTCTATTTTTGTTTTGGAAAACAACAGACTTTTAATTAATTCATTATAGATATGGAAGGTAATTTGAATACAGCCCACCATGTCTACCATTCCTTTTATGACATGATTTAATTAATATTTTTCATAAAAATGATTTCAAGTATCTGCTTATTAAAAGATGTTGAAATTTAATTATAATAGCAGTCAAGCAGTTCGTGTTACCATTAAAAATTTCTCTATATCAAGATACTGTACATGTAGATTTAATGAGATCAAAATATGACTAACTTTATAGCAATATCAAATTCATTTTTTTTGGCAGAAAAAAAACTCACAAACAAAAATTTTAAACTGTTGATATGAATAGAACTTTATTCCGTTTCAATGTCGCATTTTCATGAAGCAACGACCATCAATGCTTTTCTCCTTGAACTAGTTTTTTCACAATACAATACACTATCACTGCCACCACACGCAATAACGGTTCAAAAACCTCAACTCTCAAATTCACAATGTTGCTAAGCTATTCAGTATGAAAGGTAACTTAATGCATGGATTCATACTGGAAATAATTATTTGAACAATTTTTTTTTCAGTCTATACGCAACGAGCAACAGGATGTAAATGAAAATAAAGCTTTTGAAAAGCCAAACGCTTTCTCATTTTCATTCTCTTGTCATGTTTTTCATTTCTCTCTTACTCTCGTCTCTCAAGATATCCCTTTTTGTATGGAATTCATTGTCATGCGTAGCATTGTCCTCAAGGACTTAACATGTGCTTACATTCACATTAGAAAAGAAAATTGAGTTGAGATTATATGCTAAAAATGACAAAAGTGTAGATATTTTCTGCGATATAAAGGCGCATTTAGGTTTTATGTTATTTTACGACTTGACCTTAATTCCTAGAAGAAACTGGAACTGTCTCGATTTAATTATACAGGATTAGTGTAGTTTTAAAAATGCATCGTAACTTTGATACAGTTAAAGATGAAATCATTTTATGCATGAAATTGTTTTGCAAAATTTATCATCCACATGCATAATTGAATCGTGATACGAAAGTAAATTATCTGTAAACACGACCTAAATGTGTATTTGTATTCTTGCATATGAAAAAGAGTCGAATTTATGAAATTCTAGTCATATCTAGAAAGGATTATCTGGAATTCAAAAAGGCACACACAATTACTTTTTTCTTAAACAGATTTATTCAAATAACAAAATTCATTCTCTCTTTAATACTCTCCTCTCCTGATAGACACTTGTTGCTTTATGTTATATTTTCTTAAAATACGATTCTTAGTAATGTTCATTGATGCGTCTATTATTATGTATTTAAAAACGGTAGAAACCGGAAAAAAATTATTCTAGAATATCAAAAATTTCATCACCACATTTTATTGCTTGATTGTAGCATTCTTCAGGTCTCGAAGGTAATCTTAGGTAAATACCAAATTTTGTTTTACCTTGAAAGATTTTTCCAATTGTTCTCAATGGTTCAGCAGTCTTTTCCCCTGTGTTTTGATCAATGCAAATCATTTGACATCTCGTACACAAACCTTGAACTTCGAAGGTATTCTTTCCAATTTTTATTTTTTTCCACGAGTTTTCAGTTAAAGCTTCTATATTTTCAACAACAAAATTCCCACGAAATCTATCTATTACATTATCAACATCTTTATTATAGTCCCAAATCTCAACTTGATCCATCAGCCATTGGACCGAAGATTTATTGATAAGCAAAAATTGGGCTTGATTTGCTAATGCAATTTTTCCACTTTTCCTTTCTACTTCTTCGTTTTGTCTTATTAATCGTAAATTATTAATGGCGAGAGAATTGCTCAGCCATTCTGCAACTTGTTGCCCACAATCATGTCCATTAATGTAATCACCGCATACTTTTGTTTGACATACAGAAGCACTTCTCATTTCTTCGCCCTTTGTATTCAATGGAATTTCAATAGAATTCATGTAAGGGAATTCTAGTCGAAGGATATTGTTTGCTTCGTCAACAAATGGTCTGATAAGGCACATTTTTGGTTCATGTTTTTGTGTAAGTGCAGATCCATTGTCTCCATTTATAATTATCCAATTACGATCGTATTGTAATCCACTTTCTGTTATTTTCCATTCGTTGTTTATAATCATAGGTCCACATGATTTAATAGGAAAAATTCTAATAGATTGTAAAATTGGTTTAGCATTTTTGTCAACAATTTTCTGAACAGAAACAGTTTTATGAAATAGCATTTCCTCAGTTTGAGCATAGTATTTTCTTATAATTTCTAAAAGCACATCGGCATCCGTCTTGTCATTCATGTATCCAAATGAAACACGAATTGATCCTGTGGGAAATCCATCTACTAAATCGTGGTCATCTCCACAAACATGACCAGCATTAAAATGCTTTAACAAATCTTCTCTATCCAATTTAAGAAAGGTTTGACATGACCCTGGATTACAAAAGCAACCAGTACGAATAATTACATTATGGAGTGCAGCAATTGATGCAAATTCAGCATATCCAATGAAACTACCGTTTGCATGCTTCAAATTAAAATTTACTACTCCACTTTGTGTCGTGATATCTTCAAAAATGGTGTCATGATAAAGTACTGCAACATCCTCGTTATTAAAATGCTTCATATTTTTCAAATGCGTATAAAAGTATCTTGCTAAATTGAAAACATGTCTTGAAATTCTTTTTATAAAAGAATCCCCAAGTAAAGATTCCATATACTTAAAGCTACTTTGGAGACTAATTATTTGTAAAAATGGAAGAGTCCCATCTTCAAAAATTTCATGAAGTTTATCTCTTTTCTGATGCCAATTTTCCCGTGTCAAAGCAATTTTTACTGTACCCCCTCCATAATACTTTTTCTTTAACTTCTCTGCTCCTCTTTTCGAAACAATTAATGCACCTAATCCAGTTGGATGTCCAAATATTTTATAAAAGGATACCGAAACATAATCTGCTTTAAATAAATTTAAATCTAAATCATTTGTTGACGCAAAACCAGCTGCATCAAGTAATACATAATTATTATCTCTAAGGTGTATCTTCTCAATTATTTTTAATGGATATTTGTATCCATTGTAATTACATTGAGCTGGAAAAGCAAATAATGAATTTTTCATCGTCTCAAGTACGTTATCTTCTTTGAAGAAACTTCTAGAAAGATGTATTATGCTTCTTGTATTGACGATTTCTCTCAATCCAAGGACAGATGTGTGAGAATCTGATAGATAATAAAAGCTTCCATTATCATCAAATGTGAATGTTTCACCAACAATTTTTAAAGCTGCTGTGCAATTTGATGTGAATATTACTGTATAATCATCAAAGTTTTTAACATGAAAATGTCTCAAAATTCTCAAACGAACTTGATCTATTATGTTTTCTGATGACTTCGAGGTATGTGGATTTGGATAAAAGTTCAAACTCAATAAATCACAAATATTTTTTATTTGATTTTCACCATAAAGACCAGAACCAGCAGCATCCAGATATGTTGTGCCTGTCAAAAATATTATGTTCTTGATAAAAATTGTCTATCTTGTGCTAATTAATTACCTTTCATGCGTTTGAATTCGTTCTCAATCTGGGATAACTCTTCAGAGCTAAATTCATTCGCTAGTTCCATTGTATGATATTTTTACTTATGAGATAAGCATGCATGATACGTATTGTTTTTCTCAGTTTTTCTGTTTCTTATCTTTTATGGAGCAACGCTTTATTTTGTTCGGTTTAGAGAGGGTCATGTGAGCATTTCTTAAATTATTAATTTTACCTGGTTTTGATTGATTTTTGACTAGATTTATTTATAGAATAATCAAAACTTAAATTATTATTGATATGACTTAATAGATTGTTTGTGTAATTAATGTTAATCCTGAATTTAAGCATTTATTTACATTCGTGATAGCTTAATATTAACATTCAAAAACGATTTGAAAAGTAAGCAACCTTATTTTAACAATTTATTGTGTAAAGTTTAATAAATTAATTCACATTGTACTGACTGTGTAAATCTCCTCAATCTAAATCTCACTTTAAAAACGAGACACAAATCGACATCAATGTTTTAATGTAAGCATTTGAATATTTGAAACATTTGTAAGGTTAAAAAAAACATAAAAACACTTTTTGGAAGTTTTTTTTTTGCAACAACTCTATAAATTAATCTGTGTCAAAAATGTGCGCTACATCTCTCGTTGACTTCTATAACGGTGCGTTTTATACCAGATTAGTTGCCCGAATCTATTCAAGCAACAACATAGCTAAGAAATTCTATAATTTCTTTAAAATATTCCTTTGATAAGAAGTCTCGCAAGATTATTCGGAAAAAAATATTAATTGTGTATAATATAGTGTATCTAATCATTAAAATTAATTAATAATAAGGAAAGTGTAAGGCATTCTATAGATAATTTAAGTAGAAAATGCGAAACGAGAAAAGTTACGAATTGAGAAGAGTGGTATTTAATTAAAAAAATCATCTGTTTACCAATCCATTGAGAATGTTACCTACTTATCAGCGATTTAATGCATCAAGTTCGGGCAAAATACGATCTTTTCGAGCGTCTGAAAGAATTTTAATTTTTCTCGTATTTATATCATTTCTTATAATCGTTCTCTTTGGATTTTTCTTACTTCCTGATTTTGGAGGAACAAATGTTATACAAGCATATAATAAGTTCAAGCAAGCAGGACCTGAAATGTTTATTCCTGCACCGCCAATAGACAAGAATCGTGATATATTTGATTTAGATAAGCTTCGATTAGATCAAAAAATCAAATCTGAATTAAATGATGTGGATTTACTAGAAAAACCTGAAGTTCAAGAGCCTCCAAAAGTTCCGATTGCTCCAATTCCAGTGCCTGTTCATAATAAAAATCATCCGCAAACAAAGAAAGTAGTGACAACAGAGTCAAGTGAATTAATTTATCATGTTAATGGCGCAGATCAAGATCCAACAGCACGAAAGAGACGAGACAAGGTGAAGGAAGTAAGTACACATCATCTAAAATTTTAAATTCAGTTCCACAACAAACTCACTTGAAATTAGCTTGAACGAAGTGAATTTATATCTTTGTCCAAAGATCTTTCACATTTAACGGTACTGAGAATCTTCATTTGTGCTTTCGTCTATAAATAAGTTTGCTACACGAAATACTGTAATTAAACTGTTTACGTCCCTTATTGCCTACTTTTTACATTGAAAATTTTTTTTATTAGGTCAGACTGCAATATTGACCGTATTATGACTCATTTGTCTAAAGATCTAAAGTACTCAAAACCAAGATTCTATCTGAATACAGATAAATATTTTTAAAGCCTACAAGTTCAAGTGTTAATTTGATTTTTAGTCTCGATGACACAAATTGTGTATGTTCAGTTCCATACAAAATGCACTAAATGATTAGATTCTCTCGTAAATGACTATATCTACATTGAAAAAATAAGCTGATAGTTCACTTATGATGACGCATATTAAAGCCACGTCGTTTTAAAATATTATCGGTGCGTCTGTATTCGAGGAGTAGATAGTAAAATTTGCTCATTAAAGTCAGAATTTTGTGCACAATTTTTATTTGATAATGCCTAAATATGCTCGTAATGAATGTAAGCATTTGTTTTGAATTTACATCTCAAGTTCCCCTACATGTAGCTACATCTGGTATCATGACATTCATTAATGATAAAAGAGAAGAGGTAATGAACAAGATCAGTTTTGAATGTGCTTTATTTTAATCATTCTTTTGTGATGGAATTTGTGAAACCATGAACCATGACGACTGCTTTATTCTAACTCAACCTTCAGTGCATTTAAAATAGTTTTATTTGTCATAAACACTTTCCGGATATTTTCATATTTTGTCATTACTTTGTCGTCTCATTTCGACCTCTTGCAACCATTTTTGTCTATCTTTGACTTCTGCTTCAAATTTTGTATTTAAAATGCAATGCATATTCTTTTGTGGCAAATCTATACAGAAGTCTACAGCGATTAAGATTTTTGTTTGTATTGATCTTATTGTTAACATATTTTCTTTAATACGAAATTTTTCAATATAATAGACATCGGACTTAACAGGGCAGGTAGTAGGAAATTTTTTGTCACCAAAATGTCCATTAAAGAATAGTCTCAGCATAATGTTGCTGTTATTTCGCTTCAAATATTTACACACATCAGTTACACTATTTTGAATAAATGATTCAAATTTTCCACTTGAAGTAGGAAGTGCAATGCCAATTTTTACGTAAAATGTTTTCGCTTCAGCATAAAGATCCATTCGAAAGCTAAGTGAATAAATTTCACCAGGTCTTATTTCATGGTTCGTTGTAACGTTGCAGAAATTAGCATCAAATTTCATATCTGCTTCTCGAACAATTAACTTCAATGACTGTTGTTTCTGTAAAATTATTGAAGTTTGTTATTAATGGCATAATGCACAGATCTTAATATTTTTTATACAGCTTGAGAGGTGATTTCAATCAAAATCGATATCCACAAAGCGAAAAATCCTCCAATCACTAGCTTCATTTCTGTAAAAAAATTCCACTACTTTTGTCATTCAAAGAACTGTAGCCATGGATTTTATAACAAAATTGAATAAAATTTCCAGATCATTAAAAGCATAATTTAATAACATTAAACTTAATTACTTTCTACAATTCTTAGAGGAAATTATAATTTTCATCTAATTACTGAATGATATATTTTTTCGGTAATATTTTTACTAAGCAATGGCATTTATTCATTTTGACATTGATGAACTCTCAGTTGACATTTTGGCTGGTTTATTTTGATAATGATGCGCCTTATCATCGCAAAATTTTCAAACACCAAAAATATTTATTTTCGTATTACGCGTCAAAAGCACTCGTTCATAGTGCGATGTATTATACACAAGAAATAAAATTATACTGCGCTAAAAGTAGGAGAATTGTATCAAAAATGCTTTAACTACCCAATCTTTCATTCACTGGATTAAACCAATTTTTCCAACTGCGCTTAAAACGTCAAAATAAATATGATTTTATGCCTTAAAATACCTAACGCACAGAAAAGGCTTATAATATTCTTTGAATAAAATAAAAGAAAAATATTTTAATTAAGGAAGGAAAATAAATCATATTTGACATATTAGTGAGAAACGATAAGCACACATTATGTCTTAAATTGTGCATGTCTGTGATAGAAATCCAAACAACTTTAAAGTTCATTGACCAAGCAGAGTTTTATTGCCAAATGTGTGATCAATAGATGTCAATTTTGTTAATGTCTTGTCAATCACACTATACATGGTTCCATTTATGTTTATTTGTATGTCCGGATATCTAAAACTTTGCTTACAAATATGCTTACACGTGAGAGCCTGTAGCATGACGCTTGATACTATCAATTGGTAACTACTTACAATCAGTACATATTCAGTTAACATGTCAGTCGAGCATTTGCGTTTATAATAAATCTAAACAAATTTTTTACATAGTTTGAATTCCATGGAAGCGCCAACAAAAGAAACACAATACTGTCTCACGAAAACGCTTCAACACTTTCTATAAAATAATTTAAAGTTTTATGCTAATGTGCTGAAGAAGTGAAACAAAAGAGCATTTTGTAGTTCAATTAGAAATTAAACGAGCTAAGTTATGAAAAATTTATTCTTTTTCTAAAGCTTGCACATTTTTTTGTGAATAATCAGCTTGCATAATTATGGATTTATTTATAAATGACGTCCGTCAAGAAATACAATTTTTAAAAACCTACTTAAAGTTTGTTCTGTAAAATGTAATTGACTGTTCAAAATTTCATACAGCTTCTTATAAATTAAACATAATTTATGAATGAACCTAAAGAATGATTATACAGAAAATCGGAATTTCCGATGATGTCAGGAATTAAATAAAGATGTGAAGCTATAACCATGTTACACAGAAATTAAGAGAAAAGTTTTCGGAAATTCTTATTACTTTGGTGCGAAAATTGAAGAATGTGCAGATATTGACTATCATAAAAATCTTTCATCAAATCATTTTCTTAATTTACTGGATTTCCTGGCTCATTATTGAATGTTATGAATTTCTTTGTTTATGAATAATTAAGTACTTAAATGTTTACAAAAATGCAAAGCACTAGCTTGTTTGCGGCTTTTACAAATAAACCGTGTTACTGAATAATCAGGACAAAATTTCTACAAATACTTTTTTATGTGGTGATGGTCACTTACCCACTTGCGAAAAAAATTATTTAAAAACAAATTGATGTGTGTAAATGCTGCAGCATTGTGAAATAAAGTTGATAATTAAGCCGGTTGGTGCACGAAATTAACGGAGCAAAAAGAACTTTTATTCACTTATTACAACGTTTGTGCTTTTTTGCAAAGAACATGGGCAAGATCGAAAATGAATTGTTCGTGACGCTGAGCAATAATTTACAATTTTTGAATTAATAATGCGAAATATGTATTTAAGACTTGTGTTTTTCTTAAAGTCCTTGCCAAGACCTATATTTTGGTGTATAACAAGTATTTCTTAGTCATTGTATTATAATTAAAAATTAATTTAAAGTGCTTAGCGTCACGAACAATTTTAAGGAAATTCGATTTTACACCATGTTGCTAGTTCAACATCTGCAACTGATTCACCAATCTTAGAAATTCTTTCACTGAGTAATTAAATGATCAGAATAGTGAATTACTTGCATAAAATTATTAAAATGGCGGTATTTTAAGTTAGATTAATTAATGTTTTAAATGTTTAGGTTGAAATTTCTATATGAAGGAAACATCTTAATAACTAGCTTTTATTACAAAAAAGCTTGCAAATATGACTGTCTTTAAGTTTATAAAATAAAATTTTAAGTTCTACTTTAATTAACAAAGTTCCAGTGAGTTTAAGAAAACTTCTATTAAACCATTACTCTTTTATTATTTTAATAATCTCTCAATTTGAAACTATAACAATACATTATCTTGCATCGTTTTGCAAAAGAAAAACTTAAAAATCTTTATGGAAAGGCAAGAAAATCATAAAAGTTTAAATAATTTAACCAAAATATTTGTAACGGCTTTGAAAAATTCAAATTTTGTGTGAAATCATGAGCAAAACATGTTGCTCAATTGAATTACAATGTTTTTAAGTAAATTTACCTCAATTTTAAGCATTTTCCACATACATTTACAATACACAATGACTTTTTAATAACTTAAAAATTGTTTTCGGTCATCTAGAGTTAGTATTTTTGCTTAAAAAGCAATTTTTTCAACAAGTTGATTTTTTGTTAAAATAACTAAATCTATTGATTTTTATTAAGCTTTAGTCTGATGTTATGATAGAAAATATCATAATCTACAACTTTTGTCAAGGACTTGAACATTTAGCTTGTTTTTTCTTGAAGAAAAATCAATTTCAAATGTGAATTTGTTAATTAAGCTAATTTATTAAACCGCCATTTTGAAAAATGAAATTATAAGTTAAAATTTCTGAAATTTGCTATCGACCTGTGAAAAAATCATACAAATTGGATGCTCGGAAACAGAGAAATCAGCATTTGAAGATTTTTTCCCTTTTTTTCTGATCTTGCCCACATACAAAGAGCATGCTCAGAAAAGTAAGCATATAAGTGAGTCTACTCAAAAATTATACTCATGCAAGCTCATGCAACTGAGCATGCTCAGGAGTTCATTACGAATGTACTCACTTTATTTTTTTGCAAAAAACTCATAAGCTCACGTGAGTACATTCAAAGAGTGTACTCATGAGAATATTAAGAACATACTTATGTGAATATACTCGTATGAGTGCACTTACTGAACATTCTCATGAGAATATTAAGAACATACTCACTTCTGTGTGACATAATTTTTTTACGTTCTCATATGAGTGCACTTACTGAACACACTCATGAGAATATTAAGAACATACTCACTTCTGTGTGACATAATTTTTTTACGTTCTCATATGAGTGCACTTACTGATCATACTCATGAGAATTTTAAGAACATACTTATGTGTATTTACTCTTATGAATACACTTCCTAAACATACTCATGAGCATATAATGATTTTAATTATATCTATATGACATTTTAAAAATTTCGACCAACTTAAAATCAAACTTAGAATACATTTTTATGTAAGTCGACATTTTCGAAAATGTAAACCAACTTAAAATCGAACTTAGAATACATTTTTATATTAGTCGACATTTTTAAAAAATGTCGACCAACTTAAAATCAAACTTAGAATACATTTTTATGTAAGTCGACATTTTCAAAAATGTAAACCAACTTAAAATCGAACTTAGAATACATTTTTATATTAGTCGACATTTTTAAAAACGTCGACCAACTTAAAATCCAGCTCAGAATATATTTTTATGATAGTCGACATTTTTCAAAATGTTATTTTTAAAAAATTGTCAACCAACTTAAAAGCAAATGTTAAATATTTTAGATATGTAATACAAAAATGTACGAAACTTTTTACAATTTTAAGTTTTCTGAATTAAATGTCGAGAGTTTCTCAAGGAATTAAATTAAAAATTACTTTGCTTTTAAAAAACTATAAGAATTAAGCACGATCAAAATGTTTTGGCTTTCATGGAACTAATATTTGAATTCATAAAATAATTTCAAAAAATGTCAACCTGCATAAAAATGTATTCCAAGTTTGATTTTAAGTTGATTGACATTTTTTAAAATTGTCGACTTACATAAAAATGTATTCTAAGTTTAATTTTAAGTTGGTCGACATTTTTCATAATATGTTCTCACGATCGTGCTCTGATCAACTCAAATATTTCATAAAAATATAGTTCAATTAAGCAGCGTATCAAACTTCAAAGAACTAAGCTTGCCTGTAATAATATAATAATTTAAGTATGTGTTTTGCCATGTATAAATTGTTATATATTTACAGAAAATTTCTCCAAGGAAAAGATCTAGGTGACAGAAGTTAAGTAACGCAATAGGTTTTTCTACAAGGATGGGTGACCGGGTTTTTAAACTTCCTTCTTATGAATTTGAGATAAAATGTTAATAATAATTTCTTGCTCTTCCAAAATTATTCACAGAATTATCCTTATAAAACTCATATTTAACTTAATTAATTTTTTTGAATTTTGTGACTTTAACTGATTGCACTCATGAGTGTGCTCAGATGAGCATATACTCATTAATAAACTCACTAAGCATATATCTTTTGAGTATCTTCATGAGTATAAGCTCTTTGAGTATGTTCATGAGTAAATGCTCTTTGAGAATGTTCATAAGTATATTCCAGAGATCGAAGCCGATTTTTTCGGCTTAACTCAATTTTTGATTTTTTTGATAGAAAAAAGCCATTTGACACCCATTTCAAGTATTTAAATTGAACTTTACATGCTTTACTATGATTCTGTGTAATATTTTGTCAGCATGTAGCTATAGTGAGCTCAGAATTTCAATTTAGCCTATTTTAAGCCGATCGGCTTAAATTTCGGCTTAAAATCAGCTAAATTGAAATTCTGAGCTCACTATAGCTACATGCTGACAAAATATTACACAGAATCATAGTAAAGCATGTAAAGTTCAATTTAAATACTTGAAATGGGTGTCAAATGGCTTTTTTCTATCGAAAAAATCAAAAGTTGAGTTAAGCCGAAAAAATCGGCTTCGATCTCTGGTATATTCAATAAAAAATGTTGCGTGTGACATGTTGCCTTCTCCTTTGAGTATGCTCATAAGTTTACTCAGTGAGCTTAATGCATCTCACAAAGGAATGTGCTCACTGAGCATACTCAAAAAGGTACCGTGATAGCATCACTTTAATGTATGAAATGAGCACATTCTCACAAAAGTTTGCATGCTCACAAATAATGTGCTCTGAGTATACTCATTGTATGTTCGGGTTGATGACTTAATTTAAAACTTAAGGAAACCACAAAAACTCTAAATCTTCTTGCGCGTTAACGAATCAAGTTCGATTTCAGTGAATGTCTAGTCGTATTCAAGTGATTTTTCACTTTTCTTTAATAACTAGGCTTGTTTACTCTTGGTAAATATATTGTGGCTAGGTATACTGATATACTCAAGGCATTGACACGAAACATTTTTCATCCAGAACAATTAACAAATTTCATCCGAAATAAATGGATTATTCTTTCAGTGTTCATGCCTTGGATATACTCTTGGTTATGACAAATAAAAATGAAATCTTAATTCAAAAACAATTTGATTTAAATCTCCAATATTATTTTAATCTAGGACAAAATATTAATATTTAATGCTGAAAAATAAGTCGTGAGTTTTCAAAAAAATGGACGAAATTGGATGGAAATCTATCCTGTAGATCTAAATAGTTTAATTTGTTTCTTTAGTGAACTGAGTAGCAGTGACTTTAGCTCATCTTAAGCTTAAACTTTTATCGTAGTGAATAGTTTAGTACATTAGTGATTTCCCAATGTATCAAGAACAACGGTATATTCAGAATAGCTTTGAGGATAAAACCTCCACGTAAATCAACAGAATGTCTCTATTCGTTAAGGTTTTGTGAAATAAGATCAATTTGTTTTGAGGAACAGAACTAAATTTCTTGAGCTCAGTAAAATTTTGAAACTCTTCTGAAATGCCCATGAATTTGAGATTGCAGCAATATGAATTTCAAAACTTTAAACAAACTATTTGTCAATAGATATTTCAATGTTGCTCATAAATTAAAACACATCAGTTCCGTTTAGTATCGATTGTGTCTCGATGAAGATTGCATCTCTATTAAAGTGCGTGTTTAGAAATAAATTGTTTCAACTATAATAATTAAGTTTAAATTTCAGTGACTATATTTCCTTATCAATAAGTAGCTAGCGATCATTTTCACATTTTTTTTTTACTCAGCGATCTTAGTGCTCACTCTCATTTATGCGAGCGTCGCGATCGCAACATATATGCTTGTAATTGTAGAAAATTTTGCAAGAAAGATGATTTTAATCGTGAGAGACACAGTACTCAGTTCACTCAGTATGTGACATTTTTAAAAATAAAATTCATAGCACAGAGAATTTCAATGAATGAATGAGCAGTTGTAAGTTGAGAGTCAATCTGTTCGGATTGATATTAAAAAATTGAAAAAAAGAAAAGAAATAAATATTTGTGTAAATAAAGCTGTGTGAATTTATTAATCGAATAAAAGATTGACTGTAATTTTAAGTTTGATAACGATCTCAATCGCGTGATGCTTAATGAGAGTTCATTGTGTTTATAATAAGCTAAAAAGAGACGTTAATCTTGAGAGAGAAGAATTAATTAAACTGCATTTATGTAAAATGTATTAATTAATTTGACACTGACATAATTGTAAAAAGCTTTACATTTTTGTAACGTGAGAACTGTATTTATTGTAGAATTAACAAACAAAAAAATAATCAATATGTCGAATTCACCTTTAATTTTATCGGCAATAACAGTTATTGCATTAACGGGAATAACGCTAACTTCACTAAAGTACAACAAAAATGGCAATGAAGATGAAATATTTGTTGATAATTACCATGACTATGATGATGACTTTAGTCTCAATGGCACGCACCCAAACATTTCACAATATCCAAAAATTCATTATAATATCAATCAAAATGGGTCAGTTTTGAATGAAAAAAGGGTCGTTAAGCGCTCAAATGGCGCTATTCGAATTGATTATTCGATTGTTGATAAAAATTTATCGATGATAGATGAATCGCGGCGACAGAAGGTCAAAGAGGTACAATTCGTTCGTTCTTCTGCTTATCAAAAACTCTAAGGGATCGTTCGGACGACACGTCACCATTTAAATCCCTTTAAGATTCTTGTTTTTTGAAAATTTTAAAAAATTACCTTATTCTTAACTCCTTAGTGACGTAATTATCCGACGACCCCTTTATTCTTGATTTCGCCAAAAGCGACACATTTTGCAAAGAAACGAGATTTAATTGAATTGAACTTTTTTTTTCGTGATTTAGATGATGCAACATGCTTGGAGCAATTACAAGCTTTATGCTTGGGGTAAAAATGAGCTTAAACCAATTTCAAAGAGAGCTCATACCGGGAGTATATTTGGCTCGTATGAGCTCGGTGCAACAATCGTTGATTCTATGGATACTCTTTATATAATGGGTATGAAGGATGAATTTGACGAAGGACGAGAATGGATTGCTAAAGAATTTACATTAGATAATGTGGTATGTGTCTTGCTGTTATTAAAATAAAAAAGAAATCATTTATATTAATTTTTCATCCCTTTAGTCTGCTGATATATCAGTGTTCGAGACAAACATTCGATTCGTGGGTGGATTGCTAGCAGCTTATGCTTTAACGGGTGATCCTATTTTTAAGGAAAAGGCACAATATGTTGCAGATAAGTTATTGCCAGCATTTCAAACACCAACTGGAATTCCTTATGCTCTTATAAATTTCCGAAGTGGAAGTAGTAAAAACTATGGATGGGCCAGTGGTGGAAGTAGCATTTTATCAGAATTTGGAACATTGCATTTAGAGTTTGCATATTTATCTGATATCACGGGAAATTCAGTTTATCGTGAACGCGTCATGAATATCCGTTCAATTCTTAAAGATTTAGAGAAACCAAAAGGATTATATCCAAATTATTTGAATCCAAAGACTGGAAAATGGGGTCAACGTAAGTTACTTAATGATTAATTTGAATTTCACTTCTTATCTTACATATTTACATTTATCTCATATTTAGAGCACATGTCTCTTGGTGCACTTGGCGACAGTTTCTTTGAATATCTTCTGAAATCTTGGCTTCAATCAGGACAAACTGATGAAGAAGCTAGAGAAATGTATGATGAAGCAATGGTAGCCATAATGGAACATATGGTGCGGAAAAGCAGTCCTGGTGGTTTGACTTATGTCTCTGATATGAAATTCGATCGTCTCGAACATAAAATGGATCATTTGGCATGTTTTGCTGGTGGATTATTTGGTCTTGGTGCGAGGACATTACAAAATCAATATGCTGAAAAGTATATGGAAGTAGCCGAAGGAATAACTAACACATGTCATGAAAGTTACGTTCGAACGTACACACATTTGGGACCAGAATCATTTAGGTAAGAATTTCATTTTTATTTATTACAAGTCGACGCTTTTTTACACCTTAAAATTTATTTATTTATTTATTATCCTTTTTTTGAAAATTAGATTTAGTGACGCAGTCGAAGCCAAAGCATTAAAATCACAAGAGAAATATTACATTCTTCGTCCAGAGACTTTTGAAAGTTATTTCATCATGTGGAGATTAACGCATGATCAAAAATATCGTGATTGGGGATGGGATGCTATACAAGTAAGTTATAAGTTAAAAAATAAATTGTTTGTAGATTTCAAATTTGTAATATTTTTATAAATAGGCACTTGAAAAGCACTGTAGATCCGATGGAGGCTATAGTGGCATTAAAAATGTTTATCTTGAGCCACCTCAACAAGATGACGTCCAACAAAGCTTTTTCTTAGCTGAAAGCTTAAAGGTAATTGACTGACAAGCTTATTTGTGCAGGGTTTGGATGACAACACATTAATCTTTTGCGCGCATAATGTAAGAACACGTGCGTGTAATATACGAGAAAATGAGGCATGTGCGCATAATGTAAAAATTTGAGCGTACAAAAAGCGAGAAAGTGAATGTAATGTGTGCGTATAATGTGCGAATATATTTTTTCGCGCATTGTTTTTAAACCCTAGCATGCAAATATAAATTGTTTCCTTAACTAATGAATTTTCCGTTCTTTCTTTTTCTTCCTCAAACAGTACTTATATTTGTTATATTCTGACGATTCCTTACTACCATTAGACGAGTGGGTATTTAATACAGAGGCTCACCCACTTCCAATCAAAAACTCTAATCCACTTTATCGATTAGCCTCACCATCAAGTTCGCCTTAAATTATTTAGGAATGATAAAAGTGTATAAAGATTAATTAATTCTAATTAATTTTGTTGAGAGTTGCATTAAGGATGGAAATATGAAGAAAAATAGGGAAAATTATTTAAATGAATATATATAATTAAAATTGACTAACTTAATTTGTAAATGAATAATAAGGGGTCATTTACAAGTGACATTAATCTTACTGAGTATCCATAAAATATTGACGTCATATGTAAATGGTTCCTATAAAATATGAATTCATCTCATAGATGATTTCCTTCTGACAAATTCTAAACTTTTACCCAAAAACGATATTTTTTGTTTTATTCTTTAAAAAACTCGTATCGATTTCTTCCTTCTTGCCAATTTATGTACATTTTTTCTCTCTCTCCTTTGTTTCCCTCTAGACATACTTATATTGCAATTCTTCAATAATGCACAGTAAAAATGTTTTTGTAATTTTTTTGCAAAGGTTTTTTGGTAGCTGCAGAAAAATCAATAATGTAGAAATTTTGCATGAAAATACAGCAGAAATAAGCACTGCTAAAGTTTTACTTTCCTTCCGATTTCTAAGTAGATTTTCGTTCCTTTTTAAATCTTGATTAGTTTAGAGAATATTCGATAACAAATTAATAAACCATCACACTTATGATTCTCGTGAATGCACCAAAAAAAAATAACATTAGCCAATTTTTATAGGAGAAATTGGAGGATCAATAATCGTCAAAAATATCTATAGAATGTTTTCACAATATATAGCAAAATATTACACATCAATTTAACCTCGGATATTGTGCAATAAAAATTAGGATATGCGAAAATACAAAAACTGTCAGTTTGTGAAATGATATAACAAATATTTTTAAGCATTTCTTTTTACCCTTAAGGTTTTAGGGGTAGATTAAAAATATTGCTCAAATTCATGAAAAAAGGACGACAAGATCTTTTTATCATCCCTCAAAGCGTTTTGTTACGATATGGTGTAATCTATATAAAAACACACCTCCATAGCTTCATTGAAAATATGCTTCAATTTAATTCGGTCTTTCTGACATTCTAAAATGTCATTGTTAAGAATTTTTCTCGAAGATCAAAGTCGAAAACCTTTAAATAATTCATCTTAACAAATGTTCAAGTCAAATCCATCCACAAACAGAACAAGAAGAGCAAAAAACTTGAATTCCAAACAAAGAACTGTGAAGCACGTCATAATTGAGACACTTAACAAAATAAGTGACAATTAAAAGTTGTTAATTATTCACTAATTGATAGTTTTTGTGATTTTCGTACAAAAAAAAAATTCCATTTCTCAAGACATGTAGAAGGTTGGGGGGATGTAGAGAAGTAGTAATTGATTTTCTTCTAATGAAAAAAACGGGAAGATTTATTGTGAAAATGTGCCAAGTATAAAAATATTAAAAGTCCTTCCATTATTTTTATTAATAAAGATTTTAAAAAAAAAACTTATTAAAATCGTAAGTCTGTCTATGTTTGAGCAGTGAAAACGATGGTCTAAAATAGAACGAATTTAGATTAAATGTTGTGTGATCTGCTAATCAAGAGTTCAATTAGATATGAAACGACATTTTCACAACTTTTGATTTCTATTTTCTAATCTGAGTTTTTTATATGCTAATGTGCGATATTAGTCTCGTCAATTTTCATTATTTCCTACTATGACTTTAACTTTTTTTTTGTTAATTCTTTTTATTTGATAATAAGTGATAACAAACTGTTATTTCACATAATATATAAAAACTGATAATTTATGCTTAGATGGAAATTATGTCACAATTTCAATCGTATAATTTGTGTTCAATCGAAAAAATAATAATAATAAAAAGTTATGTGGAAATGAGATGATTTATGCTCTTTTTTGTACTGATATTATGGGCTATTTAAAACGAATGAGATGAGGAGCTTGAAAAACAATTAAACGATTTTTTATCATATTAAAATATAATTAGGAACAATCCAATCCTTAAATAGATATGAATTTTCCTCTCCATATACAAGTTTCAATCTGTTGTCAGCCAACGACTATAACAAAACAATTTCTCAACTTTTCTTCATAATACGTAAAAGTTCGTATTTCGGCTGGTTCCATTAAAGCTCTTGGCTGACAAGAGATTCCAATATAAACCTTAAACAGAAATTAATAGCTAGAAAATATTAACACACAAAATTTAAATAAATAATCTAGTATGAAATATAGTCTTCAAGCGAAGAAAGATGATGAACAGGTATCAAGGCATTTTACAGAACGTCATAGAAAAGTAAAAACTTCTTTATATTTTGTAGAATGCATATAACAATTAATAAAATTTGTAAAAAAATTAAACACTTATAGCGAATCAAGAAAACACATTTAAATATGAAAAGGATCGAAATCAGAGGAGAACAAATAAAGTTGTTTTTTTCTATTAATAAATTTCTGTGCATTTATTTCTATTTTCAGAGGAACTTTTAAGAAATGGTCTACAATTTTGTAACAGTTTAAAAATAATTCATACACATTTTGTAACAAGAGGGGGGGGGGGGTCCAAAAAGTCATTTTTAAGCGCTTTTTCAGATTGATAGTCACAAGATATGTAAACAATAAGATCTTATTTTTTTTGCAGAACTATTAAACTTAACCACAGTTTACTATTCTTATCATTAATTCCTCGTAAATTGAATTATTTATGTAATAACAGGTATGCAGGTGCTAATTAAATAATCGTAGTGTAAATTCAAAAGGAAAAAGGTTTTTATCGTTAATGATAAATAATTGAGTGAAGCATAATGTGGAAGTAAATAGCACACGTGCGAAAATGCTTAAAAATTTCAATAAATTCTTATTCAAAATGTGAGCGTGCTGCAAACATTACTACTTGCTTATCGTGACAAAAGCTCATAATTTCCTATTTAGCATATTTTAAAGCTATGCATGCGTGTTGCTTACGCATATAATTAAAACATTTTTTTCGAGTATATGACGATGGTGATGCCTTACTTCCATCTCGTAACACATATTTATCAAATCGAATAATATGGCAGAATTTCAAATCGTATCATAGGAAGTTAATTATCTTTATTGATTTTACGTCCTCTCCTTTAATATTCAGCTTCCAGTTCCTTTCAACTTTTTAACGGTTGAAAAATATTCAAAAACATACCAATACAACTTAGCATCCAGTAGTCCTATACATACATGAAAATAATCTAGTTGGAATTTCATCAATTTTGTAAATTTGTGATTTAATTATTTAATTAAAATGGATTCGTGGCTAAAGGAACAACTTACTAGGTGCTTGCAATTCGAGGTTCCGGAAGAAATGATCTAGTAAGTTCTAATAAAGTTATAAATACGAAAAAATGGCTAATTTTGAAAATAGTCTTATTTTAGGAATAGATACAGAAGAAAAATTGCGAGGATATTGCGAAACATTACTGGATTTCACAAATGAGAAGCACTGTATCTTCTTTAATGCACTTAAATTAAAGCAGTTTCCTTCAAATCATACAAAACAGATGGTGACAATGAATCAAAAGTCTGATAATGATGAAGTCAGAACCGGTGCAAAGAAGAAGACTAAATATTATAATTTCTATGGGAAAGATGGAAAGCTGAATGATACTGTTATGCTGAAAGGAAGAGTCAAATGTGATTGTCAAGCTAGTAAGCATAAACTCATCAATAATTGTTTATATTGTGGAAGAATTGTGTGTGAGCAGGAAGGATCCGGAAATTGTTTATGCTGTGGTAATTTAGTATGTACAGAAGAGGAACTAAAGGTAATTAACTCTCAAACTAAAAAAGGAGATCAATTGAAGAAATCCTTGATGAATACAAAAGGATTAGAAAGTGCAATAGCTCAAAGAGACAAACTGCTTGAATATGATAAGAATAGTGAAAAGAGAACAACAGTTATTGACGACGAATCTGATTACTTTAAAGCTAATTCAGTCTGGTTGTCTGATGAAGAGCGTAAAAAGCTGAAAGGCTTAGAAGATAAATTGAGAGAGCATAAACATGAAAGTCGTCTGAATAAGAAATATAATTTGGATTTTGCTGGACGTAAAGTTACTGAAGACGTTGAATACCCAAAAGAGATTGAGGAACAGATTCTTCGACAAGTTATGGATGCAACATCAAATAATAATTTTTCATATGGTGGTGCGAATCCTGATATGCTTAATGCATTGCCAATATTCGATGAGAATATCGGTAAAAGCTTTCCTAAGCTCAAAAAGGCTAAGACTGGATTTGATGGAGTTTATAATCGTGTACAGGATAAAGAGTTTCAAGAAATGTCTGATTTAAAATCATGCATTTCAATGCATCAACCGTGGGCATCATTACTTGTTGCTGGAATTAAAAAACATGAAGGAAGAAGTTGGTTTACATCACATCGTGGACGATTATGGATAGCTTCAACTGCCAAACCTGTAAATCCAGATGAAGTGAAGGAACTAGAAATGTTTTATCAAACTCATTATAAGGATGAAAACATCAACTATCCAACACAATATCCTTCAGGTGTTCTTTTAGGCTGTGTTAATGTCACTGAATGCTTACCTCAAGAGGAATATCGAAAAGCTTATCCTGATGGTGAATCAGAAAGCCCATTTGTGTTCATCTGTGAAAATCCACAAGAACTTCAAATCCGTTTTCCTATTAAAGGAATGCATAAAATCTGTAAGTTCTATTGTTTTTCATTTTAATTCTTTTCCTTAATTTTTTTCTCTTAAATTTCCAGATAAACTCGATCAAAACATCCATTCCGCAGCACTGAAAACATTAATGAAATGTCAAGCTAAGGCATAAATATGAACCATGTTCAGTTTTTAATTTAAATAAAGAATTTTTTTATTAATCACATAAATTTCACATATGTACATCACAGCTTAATGTTTCAGTGATGTAGTAGTCATTTTACCCAAAAGATTAACTAAAACTTTTACAACTTTTTTTTCTGTTTCATTTAAAAATGATCTTAATTAAACTGATTTATTCTTCTTTTAAGTGCTCAAATATCCAGCTACCCATTCCGTCAAATTTTAATATGTGACAATGGAACTTCCAAAGAGTTGGTCTATGCGTAATTGTCAAAAGAGTGATTCCCATATTTTTGGCTGTTTCATAAATGGAGCTTTCAACATCAATTGACACTGCACTTGTGCATTCGTCCAAAAGAGCATAGTGTGGTCTGAAAAGGAGATTCATTATGTTTTGGTACAATTAAAATAATTATTTGTGTCATGAACTGGACGGAATCATTGTAATTGAAAAAGTAAATGCCTAAACTTACTTGTGATAAAACAGTCGAGCAATTGCCATTCTCTGCTTCTCTCCGCCACTCAAGGTATCCTTCCAATCTTTAACTTCATCGAAGCTATCACGAACGGCTATATGCTCTAAAGACACCATTCTTAAAATTTCCCTTAGCTTTTCCTCAGTGATGTTCTTCTCAATCATATCTTCGATTGAGTCAGGGTAAATAATTTGTTCTCGAAGGCTTCCGATTGACATGTATGGGCGCTAAAGAGCGAATTAATTAAAACATAAATCATCATTTCTAAATAACTTAAGTTCATTCCTTACTTGTGGAATATAAAACATGCAAGGCTTTTCCTCACAACTTTTTGGTAAGTGAAGTTCTCCTCCATAAATTGGCCATAGACCACTTAAAATTCTAAACAAACTGCTTTTGCCACAACCTGAAATAATTGACATTTAAAGCTTTCAGTTCCTAAATATAATGATGTAGATTTTACCGTTAGGTCCTGTAATTAATAAGTGCATTCCTGGTTCTATTCTTAATGTTAAATTTGGTACAACAATGTCACAATTCGGGGTTACAACTGGAACATTCTTTAATGTGATTGCCATGTTTTCTTCGTCATAAAACACTTGTCCTGAAAATCAATGATTAGCTATCACGTCATTTACTACAAAACTTAATCCTTACCTTTAGCTACTGGTTGTCCATTCTTGAATTCAATAATTCCTTGCGTAGTGCTTTCATCAGCAACGAGAGTTTTTTGGTAAATTCCTTTCGAGACATCATCAAAAACTTGAAACATTCCAGCAACACGGCTTGTATATCCAGCAAGTGCGACAATTTCCTTGTAAGAAGACATTAGTCTTTCAACAGCATCAGCGCCTGATATGAGAAGATTACGAGCTGTCGTAAAGTACTGTGTACGTTCACTAACTTTACTTCCTGTTTTGTCATCGCTGCTAATTTGACTTGATGTAAGAATTGGCAAAGAAACCATTATTAAGCCTGTTCCAGACCAGACCTAATAAATAAATAAATACATACACAATGAAAGTGACACAGTGAGACAAAAAGTCGTCATAAAATTATAGAGTCATTACATATTTCATGAAGAATTGCTCGAGCATGACAAACCACAGCTTTTGTGAATAAATAGTGTTCATTTGTCTGCACAGACGTCGATATGCTTCACTTAGTTGTGTATGTTCAACCTGCAAAAGAAAATTATGGTTATTAGGACAGTAAATATATTAATTGGATTGTACCTTATGTCCACCATAGAACGCAATTTCTTCTGCATTTGTTATGATTCTTGAATGAATGTGTCGTAAATAGCCATTACGATTAGCTTCCTCAGACACAAGTTGACCGAATTTCGGTGAAACAATTCTCATTATATGTGCAGTTGTGCTGATTACAAAGAACCCAAGAAGTGGTCCGTTGACAATATTAGCTGGATGATGGAAAAATAAATTAAGGAATTGGTATTTGAGAATCAACAAATCATCATTACCTTTCATTTCATAAGACGATTGAGCTAACGCTAGACCAATAAGCATCAAATCAAAGCATGGCTTTGTCAAATGAGAATATAAATGTGCAACGGAACTCGCAAATGTAGAAATGTCTTCAGTTAATCGATGATCAGCATTTTCTATTCTTCCATCTAAATTCGACACTTTGTAATATGTCTGATTTGTAAAATATTGTTTGTAGGCATGATTTACAAGACGTGTTCTGGAAATAGATCAAATGATCATTACAAGTGACTGGAAATAACAAATCCATAATAATTTTAAAATTTGTACTTTTAACTTTTTTTAAGCCTCAAAGTCCTGCCATAAAATAAATCTAAAGGTTAGGATTATGTTACCCAATGTTTGCTCTTGTACCATTTGAAAGGAATAATAAGATCTCTTTTGCATTAACTTTGAAGCAATTGATATTTTGTAGCTTTTTCAATGTCATAATTGGCAAATAAATTGAAAGTAAAAATCGCTTGCTGCCTGTACTAGCATTTTAATTATTTATGAAGATAAGCCTTAAAGCCACAGATAGAAAACATGTTGGCTATAAGTTAACACCTGTACAATAATAATTAAAGATAAATAGATGGTGAACTCAAGGTTTTCATGATCCCGATGACACTGTAATTCAAGAGTTCTATTGCACGGTCACGTAAAACGAGTATTTCATCTACACAAAATCGCATGACATGCATCTCGTACTGAGTGAATGTCAAAACTGCAGAATGGTTTAATGACCATGACTTGCATTCCACATTAAATGTGCAAAATAGAAACATGATTTTTTATAGCTTTTTTTTTAGATTTTCATAATGGAAACTACAAGCACATGTGCAATTTCAAAGCCGGATGAATGCATCACAGTCTTGTATATACAGTGATGCATTTATTGTTCAACTTTACAAAAAACCTGTATCGTTGGAAGCTCAAAAAGGAAATTTGTACATTTGCATAAAGGCACAAGTTACGCAATAATGTCAAGAGATCTTACAACTCTATGCGTTTAGATTTTCCAACAAAATTAGTTGATTATAAGATAACTGCATGCTGTGCATGTTTCAGAGCTAGTGTTGTTAAGTAAGTGTCAAGCATGAAGCAATGAAAAAGTTTGATCAACTTTGAGAAAAATTTGTCAATAGCCTACAATGGGGAAGGGACAGTGAATTTCATTGACCACGAATGAAAAAAATCTTGTCATGCCAAAAAGCTGGATCATAGCTTTATAACATTAAAGGTCTTGTCTCCTATTAAACTCATTGACTATGTGTGAAACTGTGCTGCGGAAAAAATCCAGGTGTGCCTCGAAAATAATTGATTAATAAAATTGGCCCTTCATTTTCATGTTTTATGACTTCTAAAATACTATGAATATCATTTAGTGTGCCGCTAAAATTTATATGTTTAAAAATGTGCCGTGGATCAAAAAAGTTTTGAGAAACACTGCTTCAGACACACAAAAAAAACATCCAGCAAATGTCGATTCCTTCCAAAAGTAGAACAAAGTTCCTTATGTATATTAATGACTGAATGTATAGGGGCTGTTCACTTATTACGTAACGCGAAAAAATGACTTTTTAGACCCCCCCCCCCCCCTCGTAACAAAATTTGTATGAAAAAAAAATTTCCTTGTTTGAACCGTAACAAAATCTTAGACCCCCCCCCCCCTAAAAGCGTTACGTAATAAGTGAATGGCCCCATATTATGAATTTAAAAAAAAATCACCGGGCATGCTTATTAAAAAGACAGAAGAATATTGCGTAATATCTGATTTCCGAATGAAATTTAAAAATAGCCCAAAATAATACATTTCTAACAACTGTACACAACATAGCATGAAAATCGAAATTTTAATTCAAGTACAAATTAAAAAGCTTCGCATTTCAATTGTAGCATTACGAAATGTACATTTTAAAAAAGCTGTTTGCTACATACGATATTTTTAGTGACGATGACAGTTGAAGGAGGTTCCGAATTTGCAAAAAGATTTGAAACTGAATAAAATGAAAGTAGGTACTTGAACTGAAACAAGTATAAAATCTTTGGTAATTAATACATATGATTTTTGAATTAAACATTGACCTTGAAAGACTTGTACGTGGTTAGTCCAAATTCTTTTCTTTTTCTTTCATCAGCTGTTCCAAATTAGTGTCAATAATTTTTAACTATTTGCATAATGTAATCAGAAGGTAAATTAAATTTTGCAAGTAAAAAGAAAGGCACAAAAAATTGATCAATTATTAGGGGTCGTTCACAAATATCGTCAATTGTGGGATATAAGCCTGACCCTCTTTCTAGCTACTGTCAAAAAAAAATTTGTATTGAAGTGTCATAGCCCTTAAAAGTAGACGTAATTTATTAACAACACTAGTATGCCTTACCTGAAGGCTAAAGCCAATTTGTTTTCTAAGTATCGGATCATGGAGTTGATGAATGTCGCTGGAATTGCAATACCAAACCATTTCATTAACATCCATGCGAAATTTTTGACATCCTTTCTAACAATATACTTGACGATCGCACCTTCCATGGCCGCAACATAAATACTCAGAAATGTTCTTGATATTAGGCACAATGTATGAATACTAAGTAGTCCAGTTTCGTGACATACTAATTTTGGTATCATAATCTCGACGAGCTTTCTAAGTTGCATTATAAATTCTAAGTTCAGTCCAGGTTGCTTCAACCTTTGTTCAATGATCTTAAGCTTTTTTTCCTTAATTTTCTCAATCGCAATCTTACTGGCTTTATCATCCTTGCTGTATTTATCAATACTATTATTATTGTTATTATTATGATTCACACAATTGCCATTTGCTGTTGCTGCCTTCTTTCCTTTATTAAATCTACGCTTAATGTGTGGATATGATATTTTTATCACATAAGCAAGAACGGCTGTTGATAAAAGAGTCTTTGAGATAACTTCGACGTTTTTTCCTCGACGCTCATACGTGTCCACAGCGTTCGATAAGAACTTTGATACTACTGCTGGCATTTTGATATAATTATTATTTAAAGATACGGTAATTTAGACTTTTAAAATTATTTTCACTAGTCGGCTCACTCCAAAAAATGTTTCTATTATCGATTTCTGGTGAATCAACCCATTGCATTTAGACTGTACAATGTGTGCTGTACATCACTAGTCATCACCTCAATGTCATGTTATTCTGAAAGTGTAGTAAAAAATTAAAGATAGTTATTTGAAGCCCATACTGTGTCATACATAGAGTCAATGCAATCAATAATCTGCTAATCATTCATGAAGCACCTGACAATGTTTCTAGTGTATGGAAGTATATTGACATTGAAATTTGAAAACAAAAACATAAAAGTCGTTACTTAAAGTCGAGTTGGTTTTGAATAACAAGATACCTAAAAAGTTCTGAAGAAGCTTTAGGGTCTGGAAAATCATTTTTGTTTTCTTTAATATTCAGTCGATTTTTACAATCACAGAGCTCGGATGATTACTATTACATTCAACATTAAAGACTAAGGCTTGATCTTAATTCTTGCATTGGTCTTTGTCTATTATAATAGGAAATATAAAAGCTTCTGTTTTGCTTGTTTAATGCCAAACATTGCGCACAATGAACGAGAAGAAGATCGTACTATACACAACTGTTGCTAAACATTCTCTCATTTTACATTTTCGCCGACAATTTACACTTAGACCTGTGTATTCTGTTAACTTAGTGTATTTGTCAAACACATAGATTAATTTATTTAAATGCTATTATCTCATTGTGTAAGCAGTGTAAAGATGCATGCTAAATTAAAGTTTGATATATAAACTCATCTCAATTAGCGGAATTATTTCACACGTTAAATAAAATTAATTGCATTCCTCGGAAGAGCCGTAAAACATGTTTTAGTTTGAACTAATGAAATAAAAAATACTTTATAAAAAAAACTTTTTAAAAAACCACGTTTTTACCCGTGGACTTAAAAGTAGAAAATAACTTTTTTATTGGGTTCAAAGGATATTGGTTTGAAAGTTTCATACTAAAGTCATGACCATACATGAATTGCAAATTTGTTCACTTTGACCATATCGGATAGTTCTACATCTTAAAACATGAGCGCATTCATTAATATTGTATATTTGGAGAGGTTAAATTTCATATAAATGCGCCCACGTTTTAAGATGTAGAACTATACGATGGTTAAAGTGAACATGATTCTGTCATGCTGCTGGCTTCGATTTAAATCCAGCATTATGCCAGAGTCACACCAGTTTGGTGCTGCATTTCTGATCGATTAACCGACTTGTGCTATTCGGAATAATTTATTGACATGCCTCAAGACTATATCATCAATGAAAAACCCTTTGTCCAACTATAGTTCGCTTGATATATTCAAATATATTTGTCATAATTAGCATGAATTCATTTGTCTACCAGAGCAATATAAACCAGTTGGATGCGTCTTATATTGACACAATCAGACCTCCAATCAATCATTCCTGCCTTATAAAATGTTAGCTTTTTAGCAGTAAGCAGAACAAAAACTTTGAAACATTTTTTTTATATATGTTAAAACTGCATTGATAAAAGCCATAAAAATAAACCAGCACAAGTTATTGATCTGACAAATATTGATTGAGTAAAAAAGGTATCAGTTCATCAAATTGTTGAAATTTGTTTTAAAAGCAATGGTTTAACAAACGATCTTTTCAAATTTAAATTTTTACAAGTTAAATGCAGAAAAATATAAAGATGAATTCAAAAGATTTAATTAATCATGGATACCTTTGCATTCAGTTTCTCTTCATTCGTTGAAATTCAGACGAATTTTCACGTTCGTGCGCGATTTAAAATTGTTGAAGTTTGAATGATAAAGTTTAGCGGTGCTGTAAAAGTGATGGAACTAACATTTCTAAAGCATAAAACGTTGTTATGCTCAAATTAAAGAGAAAAGCAAAAGTGATCGAAAAAAATTAAATGTATTTGAAAGTGAAATAAAATGAAGTGAAAAGTTCGTTGAGAAGGAAAGGAGTAAGCCTGAAATGAAGCAAGATGTCGATGATCAGAAAGCTAAGTATTTTAAATGAATGGGATTGGATTTATCAAGGGTTTTTATGATTTTTCAAAATTCTTAGTCCACTCTTAAAAATGAAAAAGTATCTCCACTTTGGAAAATCACAGGCTAAGCCATTGCTACTTGAATTTTTAGAAATAAGTGGTCTTCCAGATTAACCAAGGAGAGTTTTATTCATACCAATTTAATAAATGGGTTTCAGGAAGTGGGTATCAAGTCACTCGATAAAAAGGAGACTTCTGCTGTATCAAGCACATTTCTTTTAGGAAAGATGCATACGTTTACATTTTGTCTGCTCAACTTCAGACACGGAAGGTTTCTATCATTGAAACAACTTCAGCACTTCGTTTTGATATCTTAGTGTAGGCAATAGCATGAAGTTTTAAAGGCAAAAAAACAAATCACTCGATATGGTCATTAACATTATTATGCCTATTCATTTAAGCTTACATGTCTTTTCATGAACCTTTATTGTTGAAACCCTTTAAAACAATTTATGAAGCATCTCCACAAACTAATACCCTTGAATATTTCCTTATTCATGGTATAAACTAAGATCAATCTGCTTTTCTTTCTGTGAGACTTACTGTGGTGGCTTTTGTTAAAGTTCATCCTTGATCTAGAGTGGCATTAACGATATTGATAGCTTGATCATAAAAGATCCTTGCTGTTTTTTGTCTCGATGCCTGTTCACACATACGCTACTAAACTTCCATAAGATACAATGCTAGGTACTTATCGTGAAGTTTAGATAAACTAATGAGCCTCTGATGATTTTTTTGTATGAATAACCAAACCTTAAACACGGTTCTGTATCATTCATGCTCAACGTGTGTGCTCATGAACGTTTTTGCCTCTATCTAGGAATGCTCTGCTTCAAATTCTGTTATAGTAAATAGTAATGGAATAACTGCACGATTGTCTTAAGTTTTATCTTAAAATGATATAAACACGAGTCAAAACATTATTGAGTATTCATGGATTTGATTTGAGAAGTTGTTTCGTAAGCTGTTTTCTTATTTCTCAACCATTAAAAAGCATGACAAGTCTTCAGGGTAAAAAAAAGGATTTTGCATAACAATTTTAAGGACCACATCAAGTAATTTTTTTTTCGTCTTTAAAACTTCATGTTACAACCTACATTTCGACATTAAAACAGAGTTCTGAAGTTGTTACAATGATGGCAAAATTCCGTGCCTGACTGATTGACAAACAAAATGCGAACATATGTATCTTGTCTTAGAGGAAAATGCTTTAGATATGTCAAAAGTCTTGGTGTTTTTATAAAGTTATTAAGTCTTTATTAAATTTGTACCAAAACTCTCATTTTTTACAAAATCGATTACCAGATTCGAAGAATCGAATTTTATAAAATTAAAGTTGCACATCCTCTTCTCGTTACAGTTGCAAACTTTGACACAGGAAAAATCATAGAAGTTCAAAAGCTGCAGCTTAGTCACTGAAGTTGTTCAAAATGAATTAAAGAACATGGTTACATTGAAGGCAATGAAAATGATGATCAATTGTTTAAAGAAGACCTTTGCCTTGACTTGGTTATTATTTTGCTTAATCCTATGAACATAGGATTATGTTAGGAACCATTTTCCTTAATATAAGAGAAATGATGAATAAAAATTCAAATTCAAATTCAATTCAACAGGAACAAGTAGACGGATGCTCTGAATTTATTCTCTTTGCTGAGGGTAAACCCAAATATATCAATTTGGATTAATTGGATTCATAGTGTTTCACTAAGAACATTTATCATAGAACAACGGAAAAAGTTCAATTACAGTGCCGTTTTGTTTTTTCTTTACTAAAGGGTCCGTTCACATATTACATTTTGAAACATTTTGTTACAAGAGGAGGAAGGGAGTTCTAAAAAGTCGTGTTTTCGCGTTACATAATAAGTGAATGGCCCATATCTGAATTGTTTTTTAGCGCATTTTTGAAACTTGCTTCAAAAAGGTAGCTTATTCAAGCACTTTGTTCGCTCGGCTGTCAAGAAAAACTTTTTAAGCAGACATCGTTGAGAGCTCGCGTTTGTTTTATTATCTCCGTTATTATCGATTTATTGGTCCATCGAATGCGTAAAAGTCTTGAAACAGTTTATTTATGCTATAATTAATGAATTTTTGTTTTGTTTTCAGTGTAACCTGCCCAAATTTTATTTTGGCTCTATAATTTCAACATTACCTCTATAATTTAAAATTTTTTCCAGCCGTTGTAAAATTTGAATTTCAAAAAACTGTTAAATGATACCTTTTAGCTATGGAAATTCATTGCAACAAATTAATAATTAGAAAAGCAAATACTGATCGCTAACACAAAAACGCGCTTAAGTCCCTCGATCAATAACACGAGGACTTCTGTAATTTTTTTTCTGACTTTCGCGATTGAATCTACGAGATACAATGTTCTAAGAACTAGTTGAAAATCAACATTGTTTTATTAATATTTAAAGTGAAAGTGATAAAATTTGTTGTGAGTGATCAGAAAAATAAAAACGAAAGATGGCATGAAATGAATGTAAAATTAGAGAATCCACATTGGTCTATTTTAAAAGTATTTGCGGTTTTGCTAAAGATTCTGAAAGTGTAGAAAACAAATGTATAGAATAGCTCTCAAAATTACACTCTTTGGAAAGTCACAAATTTGGAAGATCAATCGCAAATGGAATCAAACTTCTGAAAAAAAACAAGAATTAAAGTTTTTTAAATTCTGGATCACAACGATCTTAATATGAATATCGATTGATTGAACCAAGTACTGAAGATTTAAAAAATGGATTGTGGATTTCAAGATAAAAACGAGTTGAAATATTAAAAGGCAGATATTGTGGACACAGAGATAAGAAGTATTTAAATTTCAAACCATCCTTTGCACAAGACGACAAAAATTATTAATCTTCAAATTCTCTTCAGCAGTAGTTTTCTTCTTTGATCATCTTAAATTATGTTTAAAGTGGTCTTTAAGTTTTTAAGACTTCAGGAATTCAATTTGCCTATTTTCTTTTAGGTTTTATTTCATTTTAAAATTTTTTTGCTTTATTTTGTGTTCGAAATAATTTATTCTGTGTTTTACGATGCAAGATGACTGTTGAGGGTCACTCGCAATTTTCCGACGTAGT